GAGGTTGATTCCTCCCATTTCTTTTTCCCAAGAATTGCTTTAGCTATTCGTGGGGGCTTATTGTTCCATATGAATTTCAGGAGTGTTTGCTCCATTTCTTTGAAGAATGTCATGGGTATCCTTATAGGGATCACATTGAATTTGTACAATATTTGGGAAGTATTGCCATTTTGACAATGTTAATTCTCCTGATCCATGAGCAGGGGATATCTTTCCATTTTCTCATGTCCTCTTTTATTTCCTGAAGTAGCGTTTTGTAGTTTTTTTTGTACAGGTCCTTTACTTCCTTAGTTAAGCTGATTCCTAGGTACTTGATTTTCTGGAGCACAATTGTAAATGGGATTTTTTTCATGTCACTTTCTTCTCTCTCACTATTTGCGTATAGGAAAACCACGGACTTTTGGGTATTGATTTTATAGCCTGCAACTTTATTATACAAGTCTAATGTTTCTAGGAGTTTCTTGGTACAGGTTTTAGGGTTCTCTAAGTGTAGTATCATATCATCTGTGAATAGTGAGAGCTTGATTCTTCCTTTCCTACCTGAATGCCCTTAATATCTTTTTCTTGCCTAACTGCTATTGCGAGTACTTCCAGTACTATATTGAATGGCAGTGGAGAGAGTGGGCATCCTTGTCTCATCCCTGATCTTTGAGGGAAGGTTCTCAGTTTTTCCCCATTGAGGATGATGCTTGCTGTAGGCTTGTGGTAGATGGCTTTAACTATATTGAGGAAAGTCCCCTCTGTCCCCATTTTGGCGAGGGTTTTCATTGTAAACGGGTGCTGGATCTTGTCAAATCATTTCTCTGCATCTGTTGATATGATGGATTATGTTGATTGATTTCCGAATGTTAAACCATCCTTATATCCCCGGGATGAATCCCACTTGGTCATGGCATATGATCTTTTTGATGAGTTGTTGAATTCTATTTGCTAGTATTATGTTGAGAATCTTCGCATCCATGTTCATCAGGAATATCGGCCTGTAGTTTCCTTTTCTTGTGGTGTCTTTGTTTCCTTTTGGTCTTAGAGAGATATGGGCTTCATAAAAACATTGGGAGAGTTTCTGTTTCTTCAATTTTCTGGAAAAGCTTGAGAAGAACCGGCAATAGGTCCTCTTTAAATGTTTGGAAAAATTCGCTAGTGAATCCATCTGGACCTGGGCTTTTGTTTTTGGAAAGACTTTTGATTACAGTTTCAATTTTCTTGATGTTAATAGGTCTATTCAGGTACTCTAGATCTTCTTGATTCAGCCTTGGGAGATTATAGGAATCCAGGAATTCATCCATTTCTTCTAGATTCTCTTGTTTCGTGGCATGCAGTCTTTCAAAGTAGTCTCTGATGATCTTTTGAATTTCTTTGGTTTCTGTTGTGATATCCCCCTTCTCATTTCTGATTGGGTTTATTAGGCTTCTCTCTCTCTCTCTCTCTCTCTCTCTCTCTCTCTCTCTCTCTCTCTCTCTCTCTTTGTGCGTCTTGCTAGTGGTTTATCTATCTTATTAATTTTTTCGAAGAACCAGCTCTCTTGCTTTCATTGATCTTTCGGATTGTTTTTTTGGTTTCCATGTCATTGATTTCTGCTCTAAGTTTTATGATCTCTTTCCTTCTGCCTGATTTGGGCTCCTTTTGTTGATCCTTTTCTAAGATCTTGAGTTGTGAAGTCAAGTTGCTTATGTGGGCCCTTTCTCCCTTCCTGAGAAATGCTTGCAGAGCTATAGATTTTCCCCGTAACACTGCTTTAGCTGCATCCCATAGGTTCTGGAAGCTTGTGTCTTCATTCTCATTTGCTTCCAAGTATCTTTTGATTTTGTCCTAGACTTACTTCCTGACCCACTCGTTGTTCAACATTGAGTTGTTTAATTTCCAGGTGTTTGATTTGGTTCTCCGTGTCTGTGTGTGATTAACTTCTATTCTCAGTGCATCGTGGTCTGAAAAGATTGTTGATACTATTTCTATCTTCCTGATTCTATTAAGGTATGTTTTGTGTCCTAGCATATGGTCTATTTTGGAAAATGTTCGTGTGCACTGCAGAAGAATGTGTATTTTTTATTTTTTGGGGTGTAAAGCCCTGTATAGGTCTATAAGCTCTCTCTCTTCTATTTCTTCTTTCAGAGCCAGTGTTTCCTTGCTGAGTTTTGTTCTTGTTGATCTACCCAGAGGTGATAAGGTGATGTTGAAATCTCCGGCTACTATTGTGTTGCTAGCAATGTCCTCCTTAAAATCTGTTAGCAGCTGTTTTAAATATTTAGCTGTTCCCTCATTAGGTATGTATACATTTAAGAGTGTGGTTTCTTCCTGTTGTATATATCCCTTGATGAATAGAAAATAGCCTTTGCTGTCCCTTCTAATCTTTTTCAACCTGAAATTGATGTTGTCGGATACTAGTATGGCCACCCCAGCTTTTTTTGAGGGAGCTGTTTGCTTGCAGGATTGTTTTCCATCCTTTAACTTTGAGTCTGTGTTTGTTCTGACTGTTGAGATGAGTTTCTTGCAGGCAGCAGAATGTTGGGTTCTGTCTCTGAATCCATTTTGCCACTCTGTGTCTCTTAATTGGTGAATTTAGACCATTGACGTTGAGAGGGATTATTATTATGGGGTTTTGTGTCATCTTTCTGTAAGGGTCTGTTGTGCTTGTAGGGTTTGTCTTGTCTTATAGTAGCCCTTTTAACTCTACTTTTAGGTTTGGTTTTGAGTCTATGACGTTCCTGGGCTGCTGTTTATCTAGAAAATAGTGTACTGTTCCTTCAAGTTTGAGTGAAAGTTTAGCTGGATAGAGTATTCTTAGTGAAGTGTTCATTTCAGTGAGTTTTTTCACTATATCCCACCATTGCCTTCGGGCTTGGAGGGTTTCCTCTGATAGGTCTGCTGTGAATCTAAGGGATGCTCCTTTGTATGTGATTTCCTTCTTTGACCATGCTGCTTGCAGTATTGTGTCTCTATCTGTGGCATCCATCATTCTAACTTTGATATGTCTTGGAGTGTTTTTGTTAGGGTCTCTTTTAGCTGACACCCTTCGGGAATCTGAATGACTGCATTGTACAGCTCTGGTAATTTATCAGCAATGATTTGTTTAACCATGGCTTTTTCATTGGGATTATTTCCCTGACCTTCTGGTACTCCAGTGATTCTAATGTTGTTCCTCATGGAATCATCTCCTAGGACTCTTGATTCACTCTAGAGCTATTTTGAGGTCTCTTGCCATTGTTTGCTATTGCCTGTTGGCTTGGTGCAACTGATCTTCCAGCTCACTGACTCTGTCTTCACCTGTGGTCATTCTACTGTTGAGGGCACAGTCTGAGTTTTTTTTAATTTCATCTACAGGATCTTTTATTCGTGACATTTCTGTGCATAGTTTTCCAATTTCTACTCTCATTTCTTCCCGTAATTTCTCGATTGTTTCTCTCATGTTACTGGATATCTATCTGACTGTTTGATTGAGTTTATTGAACATCTTCATGACTTCATATCTGAATTCTTTCTCAGAGAGGTCCTTTAGGTGAGTAGCACCTACTGAGGCTTCTGGACTCTTTTCATCATCCTCCCCACGTGGTGGGGATTTGCGTTGTTTCTTCATGTTGGTGTGGAGGTATGGGGACTGAGATGTTACACTAGATTTCTTGGTATGTATGATTAAGCTACCTGCGTCTCCCACAGCCACAGGCCCGAAATTAAGCCACGCCCATTTCTACTGAAGCTATGCCCACTTTGAAAAGGCCGCACCCCCACGGGTACCAGGTGTGTGGGGGGGAGTAATAGCTGGGAGGGGAAGAAGACCGGCACAGCATTGGGGATGAAGAGGAAGAAGCTCAGGAATGCTGTCGTCCCAGGGTCTTAGAGGATGCCTGGGCGCTTGCGCGGAGAAAGCCAAGTTCCAGGTTCGAATACTGGCAGATTAACTGACCTGGGAGGGGAAGAAGACCGACAGAGCATTGGGGACGAACAGGAAGAGGCTCAGGGATTCTGTCATCCCAGGGTCCTAGAGGACGCCTGGGGTGCTTGTGCAGAGAAAGCCAAATCCGGGTTTGAATACTGGCGGATTAGCTGACCTGGGAGGGGAAGAAGATCGGCACAGCATTGGGGACGAAGAGCTCTCAGATTTTTTTTTGCAAAGAATATCATGACTTTGGGGGTGGGGTAACGGCTGTTGTGTACTGGAGGTTGAGTGGGCTGGTGCATGTCTGCACCCGAACCCCTGAACACTCCCGGGCCTCTTGGGCATGACTTTGTTATTATTTTCTTTAAATTATTTTTGGTTTGGAGCCACATTTGGCAATGCTCATGGCTTACTCTTGGCTCCGAGCTCAGGGATCGCTCTTGGCGGGGCCCGGGAGCCACATGGAGAGCTGGAAGTCGAGCCTGGGTTGACCATGTGCAACGCAAGCGCTTTCCCTCGGCTACTGCTCCAGCCTGGACATGACTATTCTTTGAATCAGGAAAAGAGCTTATTTTTCGCAGTAGTGTGGGGCAGATATTAATGACTTGGAGCTTTTAGCCCGTGTCCTTCCTTCACTCTGTTGAAGGAGGCCTCTTAAGTTTCGCTTTTTTAGGCAGGCGGGGGCTTGGGTGGGAAGGAAGCTTAAGATGCCACCCCAGGGCCTGCGTGCTGGTGCTCTCCTCCTGGGGCTGTGTCTCTGCAGCTGACCCTGAGGCAGTCTGTTGGGGGAGGTGTGTTTGGCGAGTTCTCGCCCCTCCTGAACTCCAAGTGTCTCAGGCCTGTTGGGAATCCTGAAGGTAGATATTCCAGCAACTTCCTCTGGAGCCTTCCTGTGGCTGTTGGGCTATAGGGGAGAAGGCAGCCTTTCTGGGAGGGAGATCCACCCCTGCTCCTGAGAGGGTCTGTCTGCATGGAGGCTGATGGCCTAAGTCCCCCTGCCAGCTGCCTGAGGGGGCCGAGATTCAACCTGGTCCCTTTGTCCCCAGTTGGAACCTATAAATTTAATGGTTCCCAGTTTCTCTTATAATCTTATAAAGCCCTTTGCTTTCCTGTTTGTTTTCACTCACAGATACTTGTTGGCCCTCCCAGGCTAGACTTCGTGGCTTGTGATTGCTGCTGGCAGACTGGATTTGGGCAGAAGGACTCCTGCCTCATCAGACAGACGTGGTGAGGGTCTTCAGGGTAAGCCGCAGGTAGAGTGCGTGAAAAGGTATGGGCATTCTGACCTGCCCCCGGGCCCTGTGGCTGTGCAATAAACTCTGCACTGCTCTGAGTAGTAAAAGGCTTAAAAAAACAGAAAAAAAATCAAAGAATGCTGTGCATTTTCTTTCTTTTTTTTTTTTTTTTTTTTGCTTTTTGGGTCACACCCAGCGATGCTCAGGGGTTACTCCTGGCTTTGCACTCAGGAATCACTCCTGGCAGTGCTTGGGGGACCATATGGGATGCTGGGAATCAAACCCGGGTCGGCCGCGTGCAAGGCAAAATGCCCTATCCACTGTACTATTGCTCCATCCCCTGTGCATTTTCATTTAAGCATTTTGTGTCACAGCAAACAATTCCCTTTCAGAGCTGCTCCCTGCTCTGAAAATGCTGAGATGCTGCAGGGTACCTCTTCCCCCACCACTCACAAGTTCCCGAATCTTGCCAAAACCACCCAAACCTTCCTTTGTAAATGTTGTAGAGTAACTCTCCTGAGGTAATTTGTGATTTGGAATGTGAGAGCTTGGCAGTATGAAAGACAGTGGAAGCAGCACGTGTTTAGTTAAGGTAGTGAGTCCTCATTGTCAGGTGAGGAAGGAAGAAAACATTTGAATAAAATAAAGCAGAGGCCAGCCTGGCTCTTGTAAAGTGAGGAGAGTATTTCAAGAAACACGGTGTTGTCACTTGCAGTTTTAGACAGAAAATAAAGAAAACAAGTGCCTTTTCATTTGATCGCAAGTGTGGCGCATGGCCTGACCTCTGGGTACCTGGTGGCCCAGAACATGGTCACACCTTCATCAGTACACGCATCATGGTGGGTACGAGACTGTCTCTGAAATTATTTCCTGTCGGTTGTTTTCTTGCAGGCCCCTGCTAGTGCTCCGTGATGGGCGTGAGAGGTCTGCAGGGATTCGTGGGCAGCACGTGCCCACATATATGCACAGTGGTGAACTTCAGAGAGCTGGCAGAGCACCACCGTAGCAGGCACCCTGGCTGCCCCCCGACCATCGTGGTGGATGCCATGTGCTGCCTCCGGTACTGGTACACGCCTGAGTCCTGGATCTGTGGTGGCCAGTGGAGAGAATACTACTCTGCTCTGAGGGAGTTTGTGAGGACTTTCACTGCTGTCGGCATCAAACTGATTTTCTTCTTTGACGGCATGGTAGAGCAAGATAAGAGAGAGGAATGGGTGAAGCGGAGACTCAAGAATAACAGGGAGATAGCTCGGATTTTCCATTACATCAGGTCTCACAGGCAGCAGCCCGGCAGAAATATGTTCTTCATACCCTCAGGACTGGCCATATTCACACGGTTCGCTTTGAAGTCTCTGGGTCAGGAGACGCTGTGCTCGCTGCAGGAGGCTGACTATGAGGTGGCGTCCTATGGCCTCCAGAATAACTGCCTGGGTATTCTCGGGGAGGACACCGACTACTTGATCTATGACACCTGCCCCTACTTCTCCATCAGCGAGCTGTCCCTGGACACTCTGGAGACGGTCATGCTCTGCAGAGACAAGCTCTGCGAGAGCCTGGCCCTGCGCCGGACCGACCTTCCTCTGCTGGCCTGCCTGCTCGGCAACGACATCGTCCCTGAAGGCGTGTTCGAGAGCTTCCGCTACCGATGCCTGTCTTCCTACACGGCGGTCCGTGAGGACGTCGACCGCAGAGGCAGCGTCATCTTGGCGGTGGCAGACCACATCGCTCAAGTTCTCCATCTGCACCAGGGCGAGAAAAAGCTGGAAGAGATGCTTCCACTGGGACAGAACAAAGCTCTTTTTTATAAGGGACTGGCATCTTATCTTTTGCCGGGGCAGGAATCCCCATGGCTTTTCCAAAAACCTGAAGATGTGATAACTTTGGGCAAAGAGGTAGTCCCCTTGTACGCACACCCAGAGTCCAGCAAGCAGGAAAGCTCTGAGTGCCACCGGCAAGAAGTGCCCATGTGTGTGGGTTCTGGATGCAGTCAGGGTTCCTTGGGAGCAGTCTCTGAGCCTCAGCAAGAAGTTTCTCTGCCTGTGTACTCTGAATCCAAGCAAGAATCACCTTTAGATGCAGAACCTGAGTTTGGGCTAGAAGCTGAAACTAAACATGAAGACTTTGTGAGTATGGAGCTTGAGAGCCAGCCCCGAGTCACCATGGTGTCAGACCCTGAAATCTTAAAGGTATGTTGATGGGTCCACTCAAATCTACCATGACTGGAAATGTGTTCGTAGCTGTACTTGTCAGCGAGCGCTCACTGCCTGCGGCCGTGTGTGGTGGGGAGGAGCCTGGGAGTTGGGTGAGGATGTGTGACACATCAAGAAGGCAATTTCTAACCAAAGGAAAGAGCTCTAGAAGATCAAAAGCGATAGATTGTTGTGGGGCCAGGGGTGTCTAAAGAGAAGTTTTCAGTAGAGGTGGAATCAGAGCCAGGTCTGAAATTCACTTTGAATTGGCCAACCCAGGGGTGAGGCTGGAATCTGGTGTTCACTTTTGAATGTGGGTCACTGGGGGGCAGAGTGGTAGAGGAGTTGGCTGGAGCTTGGGGTATGAAGAGAAAGATTTGGAAAAGGTAATGTAGTCAGGCTTGGAGACTGTTAAATGTTACACAAGGGTTTTGAACTTAATTCTGACATTCATATAGAACCTTTCACTTTTTTTTTTTCCCCAGTGGAGGGCTGCCAATCGTCCATATTGTATTTGGTTCTGTTGTAGGTAAATTCTTTATCTCATTAACCCTCCTAACAGCCCCTTGAGACAGGCAGCATTTTTGTGTTATGGATGAGATGGTCCAGGGACTTCACAAATCGGTTTGAAACCAAACTTCTGTCCCTCAGACAACCCTTGTGGTGTCCCACATTGGCGACTGAGCGTGCAGCCAGCACAGTGCTGGTGCTCTCTGCCCTTCCTCATCATCACTCACTTCAGGTCTCGTTCCCGTCTGCTTCCTGGTCCCGAGTCTGGGCTTCTGTGTGTGGATGGCAGGACGGCGGCACACTCTGCGTGGCTTCCTGGACAGCTCTCCTCATCCTTGCTCACACATTCTTGCTCTGGTGCCCCTGGCGGTGACTTTGTGACCCACCCCTCGCCCTCCTCTCAGAGCCCTTTGGGTGGCAGGACAAGCTTCTCTTTCTCACCACAAACCCTTTGTGCTGGCTTCTTGAATATTTAGTGGGCTGTTCCCTATCTTTATTCTTTAGTTTTTGGGGTCATATACAGTGGTGCTCGGGGTTGCTCCTGATACCATAGATTTGCAATGCCGAGGCCCAGGCTAGAGTTGGCCAAGCACTGCCCGGTACCTCATCAGCTAGTATTACTATTTCTCCGACCCTCTTAGACCTTGGTTTGTTTTGCTTGGGGGCCACCCAGTGATGCTCAGGGCTGATTCCTGACTCTGTCCTCAGGGATTAATCCTGGGGATACTCAGGGGACCCTGTGGGATGCCAGGGATTAAACCCTGCTCAGCCACATGCAAGGCCAATGTCCTCCTCGCTGTGCTAGTGCCCTGGTCCATCTTAGATCTTCAGTGTCTGTGGTGTGTTCCCGCACACACTTACATGACTTTTCCTGTCTTAGAAAGGCTTGGAAAGATGAATCTCTTCCTCTGTCACATTGGAGCCAGTCCACTAACGTTGATACAAAATTACAGTGGGAAAATAGAACCCAGTATGTGCTTTAAGAGTAACAGATGAATGGGGCTGGAGCGATAGCACAGCAGGACGCGGCCAACCCAGGTTCAATTCCCAGCATCCCATATGGTCCTCTGAGCACTGCCAGCAGTAATTCCTGAGTGCATGAGCCAGGAGTAACCCCTGAAGCATCGCTCGGTGTGACCCAAAAAGCAGGAAAAAAAAAGAGTTACAGATGAAAAAGTATTAGTTATTCTACCTGGAAATGTTTTTAAGTTCTTCATAGAGGAAATTATGGGTTATAAATCTGGGAAAGGGTAGAATTGTGGGAAGTGTTGCAGTAAGTACTGCATTGGACAAAGGCCCATGTAGAAGTGAGGAGACTCAGTGCTCGGAGTGTGGAAATGAACAGGAGTGTAGAGATTGGACCGAGAGACCTTGATGGACCTCACTGGGATCCCCACAGTGCCAGAACCGCGCCCATCCCAGGCCCTGTGTGACTCTGTGTTTGTCGTTACTGTCACTCACTGTTCCAGTCATCGCCGCTCTGCCGTGACGTGCCATGTCTAGGGTGAGTAATGTTGTCTGCACCCTTGGGGCCTCAGTGCGAGAGGGATGTGTGACACCAGCCTGGTGCTCAGCCACCACGTCTGCCCTGCCTCTGCCTCTGCTGACGCAGTGTTCTCAGGGACTCCGGATAATGCACAACCCCGTTCCAGACCCTCCCTCCCGCCCAACCCCTCCTCAGTCGCTGTCTCTGTGACCGATGTCCGTGTCTTCTCTGGTTTGCACTTGGTCCACAAGTCCTCTCGCAGTGGGGCTGTGCTAGCACGGGCTGACACCAGCACGTCCCTGGGTGGGAAGCAGGGTTGCCCCTGAGTTCCCTGCAAGGGTAGTTCTGATGTGGTACCTGCATTTGAGAGGGTTGGCACTACCTCCACTACCCAGCCGCCACCACACTCCAGGATGCTTTCCGGACACATCATAAGACACTAAATACCCATCTTCTGGAATTGTCGTACCATATTTGATAGGGTTCAAATATGGTAACACTTACGAGGGCGATTAGAGGTCGCCCCAAAAACCTCTCTCCCTCTCGGAAAGACTGGCAAGCTACCGAGAGTATTCCGCCCGCACGGAAGAGCCTGGCAAGCTATCCCTTGTGTATTCTATATGCCAAAACCAGTAATTACAACGGGTCTCATTCACCTGACCCTGAAGGCTTCACCGACATGGCAGCACTGAGAAGGATGAGAAAGGAGAGGCCAATAAAATCTCAAGGCCGAACTAGGCTGCCACAACGAAGGAAGACAAAAATCGTCTGTACTTTCAATGCACGTACGCTAGCATCAGATGCATCCATCGAGGATCTGATGGTACAAGCACGAATGATCAAGTACAACATCATTGGTCTGACCGAGACAAGAAGGCACGAATCTCACCATGCCGTTTTCGACACTAGAGAAGAATTGTTCCTCGGAACATGCAATAAAAGAGGTGTTGGAGGCGTCGGTGTCCTTGTCAACACAAACTTGGGCATGAGCATTGATTCATTCCAATGCCTAACAACCTGAATCGGACGTCTACATTTGAATAGATGTGGCTCACTGCCGGCAGTTTCTATCTTCGTTGTCTACGCACCAACATCTCATTATGATGAAAGAGAAATTGAGAAGTTCTACATGGAGCTGGAGAAGTTCTATGAAGAAGACCATACCTTCTACAAGATCATTGTGGGTGATTTTAATGCCAAGATAGGACCGAGAAGATCAGCTGAAGAACTTCACATCGGGACCCATGGCCTAGAATGGAGCAAACAGGGTGAGAGACTGTCTGAGTTCATCATGTCGACCAAGACCATCCATGGTAACTCACAGTTCCAGAAGGCAGAATCTAAACATTGGACATGGGAGTCTCCCGGTGGACGATTCCACAACGAAATAGACCACATCATATTCAACCGACAGTTTTGCCTTACTGATGTCGCTGTTGTCCCAAAATTCCGAACAGGATCGGACCACCGTCTCCTTCGTGCAAAATTCTACTTCACAGAGCGGGGAGAAAGGGCTGCAAAGTTTAAAAAGAGAACTGCCAGAAGGACCACCAACTGGGAGCTCTTTGGCACTATTGCGGCAACATGGGAAGATGCCATTGTTGACAACATTGACGAGGAATACGATCGACTGGTTCAGCACCTCCATGATTGTGCGAGGAATGCCAAGAGAGAGATAGCCACAAAAAAACGCCTGTCCTCGAAAACTCTGGAGCTTATTCGCCAATGTGGTTTGGCGCATGCCTCAGGCAACCGCAAGCTAATGTCCGAGCTCGCAAAGCAGTGCAGAGATGCGATCAAGGAAGACCTCAAAGAGAGAAGAGCAGAAATGCTGGGAAAAGTATTCGTAACGCCCACCTGTCCTTCACCAACTACAAGACCAAGATGACTGCCCTCCAACGTCCTGATGGATCTATCACATCCTCCAGAACGGCACTGGAGAAGATTATCACATCCTCCAGAACGGCAATGGAGAGATTATCCATGACTTCTACTCAAATCTCTTCGATAGCCATGTCCACTTGCCGACATACCAAATTCCACAGGATGGGTATGTCATTCCCAACGTTCTCCCTTCCAAAATCCGACACGCCATTTCGTCAGTAAAGAAGCAAACAACACCCGGCCCAGACAAGATCAGACCTGAACTCCTGAAGAACCTGCTGTCAGTACTCATCAATACACTGGCTCGGCTCTTCACACGCTACCTGTCTGAATGCAAGGTTCCATCCCAATGGAAAACCAGCAGGACCGTACTACTGTTTAAGAAGGGAGACATCCATGACATTGGCAACTATCGCCTGATCTGCCTATTGTCTGTCATCTACAAGTTGTTCACTCGAGTCATCCTAAATAGGATTAGCAGAACACTAGATGAAGGACAACCATGCGAGCAAGCCGGGTTCTGCAAAGGATTCAGCACCATCGACCATATCCATACGATAACCAAGCTCATTGAGGTTTCTCAGGAGTTCAAGATGCCGCTCTGTTTAACGTTCATTGATTTAAAGAAGGTCTTTGATTCTGTTGAGACGGAAGTGGTCATTGAAGCCCTAGCCAATCAGGGCATTCAAGCCCAATACATCAAGATCCTCCATGAGCTGTATTGCGGATTCACTACCAGGATCTCACCATTCTACAAAGAAGTAATCATTGATGTCAAGAGAGGGGTTTGGCAGGGTGATACCATTTCGCCGAAACTCTTCAGTGCCGCCCTCGAGAACATCATGCGATGACTGGAATGGAAAGGAATGGGAGTGAAGATAGATGGTCGGCAACTACACCACCTCCGCTTTGCTGATGACATTGTTTTAATGACACCAGACATCAGCCAAGTGGCACAAATGCTGGCCGACTTTGACCGTGAGTGTGTAAAGGTAGGACTACAGCTGAATCTTACGAAGACAATGTTTATGAGAAACAGCCTCGTTCCTGATGCCCCATTCGCTCTCAACGGAACGACCATCTCCAAATGCAACAGCTATGTGTACCTAGGTCGAGAAGTCAACATGACAAATGACCTGGCATCCAAGCTGCGCAGGAGGAAGAGAACAACTTGAAGCGCAAGAACGTCGAAGAAATAGCTAAGTGGACGAAGAACCTCTGGCTCTGGGCACATCTCTTCAATTCCACTGTTCTTCCTGCATTAATATGTGCCTCAGAGTCCTGGGCCCTACGTAAAAAAGATGAGAATGCTATTCGGGTCTCCCAAAGAGGAATTGAAAGAGCTATGCTTGGAATATCACATTTCATGAGAGAAAGAATCCGGATTTCTGACATCCATCGATGATCAAGAATCAGGGACGCTCTCTCGTTTGCCAAGGTGTCAAAAATCAGATGGGCTGGTCACGTAATGAGATTTAAAGACGACCACTGGATTAGAGCTGTTATCGACTGGATTCCACGGGATGTCAAAAGACCGCGTGGCCGCCCACCTACCAGATGGTCAGACTTCTTCATCAAGATCATGAACGATCGGTTTGAGGCTCTTCATGTTCCCAGAATGAACAGATGCCATTGGGCTACATTGGCACGCGACAGGGACGAATGGAGACGTTACTGGCACCCGCTCGAGCAAATCAACGACTAACGGGAAGTTAAGTGATTAAGTGGACATCTAGGTTAATCCCGTGTCCTAGCTATGGGGTGCATGTGACCTTTTGAATGAATGTGTCTGTCTTGGGGAGCACTGTGGTCTTTGTTGGTTCGTATCCAGTAATAACCTTAAAACCCTTTTAAAGTTCTTCTAACGTTGAAGCCACAAGTCTTGCCTTGGAAATGGGTATTTTGTCAGGTATCTGGCATAAAGTAGTTAACACTGCCTTACATGCTTTCCATATATTGACTCCGTGTATTAGTAGGTCTGTGAATTTGGCACTTGTTTAAAACTTTCATATATGAAGGAACTGGGAAGCATCAATTAAGATTCAAGTCCAGAAATGAATTAGCATGAACAGGACAACTGACCTGTGTTTAAATATGAAAAACTCTGATGCAATTTTTGATGCTTAGAATTAGCCCCGTAGTCATTTTGTTTGGGGTCCACACCCAGCCCTATGCTGGGGGCTGGGGGGGTGGGGGGGATGGACATGGGCTGCTCCTGCTCCTGCTCCTGGCAGTGACAGAGATTGACCCTGCCCTCAGCTTCCAGCATCTTCCAGCCCCTAATACAACATTTCAAAAATGCCGTTAGTGGTCAGCTCTCTTTGGATTTATATTTTCAGGAGTAAGTAGATGAGTTTATTCCTGTACAAATGAGAAGTACTCGTCATAGGAAGCTAAGTCCTATGTACGTTGGGGCAGGAGAGATAGTACGGTGGGTAAAGCAAGTTCGATCCCCAGCACCACATTTGGTCCCCTGAGCCCTGCTAGGAGTGATCCCTGAGCACAGAGCTAGGGGAAAGTTCTGAGCACAGCTGGGTGTGGCCCCCAGACCCAAATCAGAAAAGACACTTTGGTTATTTGAGGCCTTTGATGGTAACTCGTTAATAAATAGATGAGAAAGTGGTGTTAACTTGAATCATGCATCTCATTATCTGCTGTGAGTAACGCCTTGCCGACATTGCAAAACAGAAAGAGATGTGAGCTCGTGGGAAGTCACTGAGCAAGCTTTTGTAGACCAGGAGGAGTGTGCAGATGATAGGGGCCGCAGAGGAGGGGCCACAGTCTGTACACCAATAGGGGCCGCAGAGGAGGGGCCACAGTCGGTAGACCAGTAGGGGCCACAGGTGAGGGGGCCACAGTCTGTAGACCAATAGGGGCCGCAGATGAGGGGCCACAGTCCATATACCAGTAGGGGCCGCAGATGAGGTCCACTGCTATGGACTGGAGTCTGTGGAGCTGGTGTATTCAATGGGGAAGGTGGCCCGGTTGGTGACCCTGGGGAGAAAAGGGCCCAGTGGGAGGGACTGGGTGAGAAGATGGGAGGTGCTGAGATCCCTGAGTGCCTGGCAGGTGGGAGGGTGGAGGTGTGGCTTGGGGGCGGGGCGGCTGTGCTGGAGGCGAGGTGAGGTTCAGGCAGCCGTTGCCCCTGAGGCCTGCTCGGGAAGGGTGTGGGGAGGCTGGTATCAGTGTTTCAAGGAGGGTAGATTTGGGGTGTCAGTGGTGTGGAGGGTGAGCTGGAGCAAGCAGCAGGCAGGCTGAGGGGCGACGGCCACTCTCGGAGCGGTGAGGCGTGCAAGTCTGTGAGTCAGTCGGGGGCGCCGCCGGTCCGGTCTGAGGGCAGCCTTCCCCTTGAGCGCGGTGGGCCAGGGTCCGCACCCTGTTCCCCTGAGCACAGCCACAGTGATGGTGACTTCAGAGCCAGGACTCAGCCCTGAGTGCCCACAGACAAAGGGCCATGTGGGATGGAGCCGTTGGCTCTAAGGAGGTTCTTGTCCCTCTCCGGGGAGAATGAGCTGTGTTTCCCCCCGAGCAGGTTGCGCGAACACAGCACGTGCAGGCAGAGAGCTACCTGGTGTACAACGTGATGACGAGCGGGGAGATTGAGTGCAGCAACACCCTGGAGGACGCCCTGGACCAGGCGCTGCCCAGCCAGGCCTTCGTGTACCGCCCCGTGAGGCAACGCGTGTACTCGCTGCTCCTGGGCCACAGCGCTGGTGAGTGCCCGCGCCCCCGCACAGCCGCCCCTGGGTGCTAGTGTGATCCTCTGCTTTCTGGTGACCTTTTTTTTTTTCTGAAAAATGTTTAAGATTTCATCACCCTTATGTTTACGCATTTCGCTCCTCCTCCTCTGTTTTCTGTTGTTGGGATTACGCAGATGGAGGGTCAGCTCCAGGCCGACACTGTTTCCGTCGTCTGACCTGCCGTGTCTCTCACTGGACCCTTTCGCCCTTTTCTCCGCCCTCTTGCAGAGACCCTTTCCTGGCCCCTTCCCTCAGCTGGTCTCTGTATGAGCCCCATCCCCCAACCCCCTGCTTAACTGTCACCTTAACTGTGTGCAGGCTGTCCCTTTATATTGGCCTTTGCTTACTGACTTTGCTTTTAAAACCATCCTTGTGAACAAAAGAGACTTTTCTGTTACTTTGGCTGTTGAACCACACCTAGCAGTGTTCAGGGCTCACTCCTGGCCCTGCCCTTAGGAGCCACTCCTGGTGGTGCTTGGGGGACCTTATGTGGTGATGGGGATTGAACTTGGGCCAGGCACATGCATCCAAGTGCCCTACCCACTGAACTCTTTCTGGCCCGAGGACTTTAATTTTCCTGAGTAGGCCGTGTTTCCAATCAGTCCTTCAGGCCCCTAAAATCTAAACCTTCCAAATTAAAAAACTAATCCTCCCAAATTCCTTTTTTTGCCTATAGAAATAAATTCCTCTTGCAGGCCCCTTATGCTTTCGTCCCGAGCTCACCACCGTCTGATCGGTGCATGTATTTAGGTGATCGTTTTGATGCCTTCCTCTGTCTGCATCGGTTACAGGACTAGTTGGTGGGGACCGTTACGGCAGCCTTTCGCTGCTTTGGGCAGAGCAGTGGTGTGAGTGAGTTAGGTCTGTTTGGAGTACGTTCAGCCCAATGCCTTTTCAGGTGTGTTTGCCTTTACCAAGGCATCCAGGTCTCGTGACCGTTTCACACACTAGTGGGACCCACTCGGTGAGCAGTTGTCACAAGGCCAGATCTCTGGCAGGTGGGAGCCCCTCTAAGTGAGACTTAAAATGACTGAGCTGAGTCCCTGAGCTGAGTCTGGTTCTCTAACCTGCACAGCCATGGGCACCACCAGTCCCAGAAGTGAAGCTCTAGGTCACAGACACTGAATTGGTGTTTTGATGCTGAAGGTCCCTAGCTGTAGTGTATGGACAGTTGGAATACAGGTGTTTTGGTTAACCACCGTACTCTCTTCTGAAGGAAGCACCGCCCTTCCCTCTGCTGGTGCTGTTGTGGTGGTGGTTGTGAGGCCTCTTGTGCTTACTGGGGTTGTGCTTCAGGCCGTGGTGCTCATGGGAGCCCCAGTAGCTAGACTTAGGGGCCGTGGTGCTCTCTCAAGCTGTACTTGTTGCTCACGGGAGCTGTGGTCTTTGGTTGCTGTGCTGGCACACACCCAGCTGCCAAGCAGCCAAAGCTCATGAGCAGTGCAGGAATCTCAGCAGAACTGCCAGGGGAGAGAGGAGACAGAGACAGAGAGAGATAGACTGACAGAGACAGAGAGACAAAGAAAGACAGACTGAGACAGAGTGAGACAGAGAGAGAGAAAGAGGAGAAAGAGAGCGGGAGAGACCAAGAGAGAGATGGAGAGTCAGAGACAGAGTGGGAGAGGCAGAGACAAAGCGATCAGGAGACAGGGACTGAGCCAGAGACAGAGATAGACAGAGACAGAGAGAGACCTAAAGGCAGAGAGAGAAAGAGACAGAGAGAAATCAAGGGACAGAAAAAGGCCAAGACAGATTCTGAGGCCGAGAGACAGAGGTTGAGAGACAGAAAGAGATGGAGACAGAGAGACTAAGACAGAGGCTGAGAGGCAGAGGGAGACAGACATAGATTGAGGGAGACAGAGAGCAGAGATGAGGAGCACCTTCTCAGGAGAACCAGGAAACCGCGGGTCTTGGTTATCTTGGGGCTCACAGTTGGTAGTGGGGGCCCTGGACACAGGAGGTAGCTTGGAAAGGGACAGGGTGCCTTAGGGGCCCTCAGGGGAGATCTTGTCCGCCAGGGAGCAGACCCTGGCTGGGACCCAGAGAAAAGAGGAAGCTACCCTGCCCTGGGCAGGGAAGTGGGCCAGGTGGCCCCGTGGGCAGGTGGGCAGGCCAGTGGCCAGGGCCCTGGGGCCAGCATGGAGCAGAGCTCAGTGTGGCTGCTGGTGTGCCCTGAGGAACTGAGCTTGGGCAGGACAGGGCCCAGGGAAGCAGCACCCTGGACTCTGCCTGGTCTTCATCTCTCAGAGGGTCTCTAAAACACAGAAAACCCTACGTGAGGGTGGGGAGACACTGAGACCAGGGACCGGGAGCTTGACCGGGGCCCACAGTGGAGAGTGGCCAATGGAGAGAATCCCCTGGAGAGAAGCAGGGCAGCCTGGGCACTTGCACTTGACCTACAGTGCTGGTGACTGGACAGGTGCAAAAGGGGCTCATTCCCACAGGGCTCCCTGGGGTCTCGGGATGGGAGACTCTCCATGTTGACCGGACTGCCCAGGTCACCTGCCCTCCCCGCACCCCAGGGGCCATTGCTCCTGTTGAAATGAGTGACTCGGGTCACTCTGGTCTGGGGTTGGCATTTGCTGCGCTCCTGGCTGAGCTGGTTGCAGTCCTGTTGGCAAAGAGAGACTGACCGTCACCATGACTGAGTCTCTGTGTCCACCCAGATGGCGCTGATGCCTGCCCCACCGTCAAGGAGTGGTTTGTGTATGCTGGGAACCCCCTGCAGCAGCCGGACCTCGTCAGGCCACTGCAGCTGAACATGCCAGGTAGGCTCCCGGTGCCACCACTCGTCTGCCTCTGGGTGGCCAGCCGGGTGTTGTGTGGAGGCCTGCTTTCCCAGCGCTGGCTTTGCTCACGGCGTGGCCCATAGTGCCCGTGACATCACGGCAAGACCTGTGATACCTGTGACATCACCGCAAGGCCTGCGGTATCTGTGATGTCACAGCATGGCGCTCAGTGCACAGGATGTCAGTGTGGCCTGCGGTACCTGTGATGTCACCATAAGGCCTGTGACATCACAACGTAGCCCGTGGTGCCCATGACATCACAGCGTGTCCCGTGGTGCCTGTGATATCACAGAATGGCCCCGCGGTGCCTGTGATGCTGACCTCTTTGCTCTCTCCTGTTGCTCCTCTTACCTTTTCTAAATAACACTACTTCACAAAAAACAACAGCAGCAAAACCGTTGTGTTTCCAGAGCTGCACACGTGCTGGTCTTCGTTTCCTGGCTGGTGTAGGAGAATGTCTGACATGGTCTTAAAGCAGCAGAGTGATGGGGCTGGCAGCAGGGGGTGGGGGGGAGGGGGCAGGGCTCCGTGAAGGCCTCTCCCTGGGGAGAGTCAGGCTCTGATTTTCTGCTGGATCAGAAACCGCTGGTACATTTTGATGAGCTGGAAAGGGAAGACCACAGACGGCTACTTGAACTGAGGAAAGGAGCTTTCTTTTTAGGAGAGGTATCTTGAAACAGAATCACAAGGGAGGGGAAAATACTGGCCTAAGAGGTGGAATAAATCTTTCCATTGAGTTTTCAGTCTCGGAAAAAAAAAACATGAATCAGTTCAATTAGCTTAATCAATGGCTGAATAATTAGCAGTACAATCCTACATTACATTTTTTTTTAATCTTGATTGTAAAGGATAGTGCTTACTGAGAGGCAGGTGTGCTCTCCAGTTTATTAGAAGATGCTTTCAGAATTTCTGACACTTCATTTTTATACACAGCATATCTTTTCGTGGTACCAGGAATCAATCATAGGACTTTCCACATACAAGTCAAGTCAGCGATCTTACCAGCAGCCCACATTGTCTGCCCTGCTCTTCATGACCTCAGGAGAATATTTGAGTTATGAGCATTATGAATTTGTTCTATAGACCATGAAATATGGTAATAAAATGCCAGGGCCAAATAGTTACCAGAGACTTTCTGGGCCTTCCAGAAGCATCCCGTGGCACTATTGTGACACTTCAGACTGCCTCTCAGTCGGGAGTGTGCTTCCGGTGACACCTCAGACTGCATGCCAGTCGGTGCTCTGCGTCCAGTCTGTTCCCTGTCCCCATGTCTCCCTCCCCTCCAACCACCACATATGACCTACAGCCTATGGTCTGTCTGGAAATGGGTTCTGAACAGTTATTGTGGATGATTTAGGCGAGACTCTCTGGTTAATGCTTATGTTAGAATAATACAAAATGGAGGATTTTAAGACAGGAAAAGACTCTAAATGATTTCTGCACCAAAAGGGTTGTGAACTGTGCAGTTTCTTCTGCCCTGTTGAATGAGCAAAGGTACATAAAAATAAACATTCTTGGGGCTGGAGCAACAGCACAGCAGGTAGGGCATTTGCCTTGCATCTGGCTGACCCGAGTTCGATTCCCAGCATCCCATATGGTCCCCCGAGCACTGCTAGGAGTAATTCCTGAGTGCAGAGTCAGGAGTAACCCCTGAGCATTTCCAGGTGTGACCCAAAAAGCAAAAAAAAAGTAAAACATTCTTACTGGCATATTTTATTCAAGAAACATTTCTATACATGGAACTCTGTTGTAGTATATATGCATAACCTATCTCTCACACATGTGATCCATTCATAGTCATACATTCATACATTATTTTATATCCATATTCTACATTTGTAATGTATCACGTATATATACATGGTATATTCAGACATACGCACACCCATAACATACAGCTATATCTGCGTACATATCAGATACACATAGCATGCATATATCACTTATATAGCACTTATGCATTCATTTGCATACACATGTATATAGAGCTGATATATTCATAAGACATGCACACATTCATGATTACATTTATGTTCTGTAGTTATATATGTAAATACTTATGCATACATTTATTGCACACGTAGACATTTATTATATATGCATAAGGTACTCATATGCACATATTCACACATATTTATAATGTCGCATACACAGTCATCACCTAGTAAGCCATGGGGGATTGTTTCTAAGTTCCCCTGAAGATGCCAACATCCTCGATTGCTCAAGTCCCTTCTATAAAGACATACAGGAGGTAAGACTCTTGACTTGGGCTGCTTCGACCCAACCCTACTTCCAGTCCTCCATACCACATTGCACGGAACATCATGAGGGGAGGGTTCACTCCTTAGCACAAAGCTGAAAACAGCCCCTAGTACCACAACCATGGGGTGTGGCCTGACCGCCGTGTGTGTGTGTGTGTGTGTGTGTGTGTGTGACTGAGCTCTTTTTTCTAATTAGGAGGAACACCTAGTTTGAAACGCTTGTGGCTGAACCAAGAGCCTGAAGTACAAGCCCAGCGCTTGGATGCTCTGCTGGCCTGTTTCGACCTGTCGTCCGCTAGAGAGGAGCTGCAGGAGGTGGAAGACCCCTTTAAAGCACTCTGCTGCCTCTTGACCTACCTGTTTGTGCAGGTAACCTTGGCTCCGGCTCAAGCCTTTGCAGTCACTCCCTATCTTGCCCCCAAGAAGTGGCATTTCTCTGGGGCATGGCCGTGGACCAGTCCTTGGCAGCACCTTCCCAATATCCTTTTCCTGCCCCGTGAGAGCGCCGTTCTCAGACTAAATAGTGGTTCTGTGTGTCCTACATCGGAGTCCCCCCAGCGGAGGGGGTGGGGCGTAGTACAGTGGCAGGAGGAGTCCTGTGATTTTTCAGTCTCTGACCACGGAGTACCGCCTTGTCACTGCGCAGGCGCTGGAGCAGGTCGGCACTCCCTCACCCACTCCTGCTGGACCCGAGTGTGAGTGTCCGGGACACTGGTCTCGCCTTCTGCTCACACCTCTCCCAGTTACAGAACACGGAGCAGCACCAGCTCCTCGTCACGTTTTCATTCAGTGAGGTGGACAGTTTAGTTCTCGTTAGTCTTTTACTTCATTTTTGTATGAAAATCAGGCAAATGAAAGATGAATCTTTTATATAGTTTTCCACATACATAAAGGATTTAAACCCACTTTTCCCCTTCGGCCTTGTTGCCATAAAAAAGATTATTTTGCTCTTGCCATGACAGTGATAACAAGAAACCCTTTGCAGTCAGGTGTGTGCTGGCCCAGGGGACTGTCACTGCTCCATGGCCTCTTGTCTTCCGTCTCTGTTTTTGACACGACCAGCAGGGGCTCGTTTGCCCAGTAAAGGATGTTCTTTTTCAGTTTTTGGGACTTGATTTCACTGCAGGTTGCTGATTACTTGGTGAAACTCACTTCGAATGTGTAGTCTCACCGGAGGGTCTCCTACTGACTGCCTCTTTCTGAATGTCTCTGTGACTCTGCCCATTTGCAGCTTTTTGGGTTTCCAGTTAAGCAAGTCTTGGAGATTTGTTGTTTCAAACTTACATGTACTGAGTTAACTTTGGCTTTTGCATTATTTTGTGTAGAAAGTGTTTTGCATAGGACCTAAAAAAGTTTAAGTTAAAGAATGATATTTAAGTATAAAAATAAGTTTATTTCAACATGTTACGCCCGCATCTTTAGATTTGGTTGTTTGCCTCCTGGTGACTCTGGCTAAAGTTGAGCAGTGGGAAATGGGCAGTGATAGGTGACCAAGAACGTTTATTCTCCTGTAAAATGAGTGTTTCCTTTCCAGTGTTGTATGTGCACAGACTAGCAGCACTATAGTCTAGGAACACTCCTGGGACAGACATCGGGGCACTTTCCCACAGGAGAGGGTCGTATCCTGCCTGCTGTGTATCGCTCCTGCTCATGAGCACAGGGAAGCAGTGGGACAGACAATCAGTAAAGCACAGAAAGCGGTGGGGCAGAAGTGAGAACGCTGCAGGCAAGCAGTGACGACTCAGAGCATGGTAGGTGAAATGTAACACTCAGAGGGTGGCCTCAGCAAGCAGGGTGACAGCAGCTGAGGACGAAATCTCTGAACTCCAAGAGGAGATGCAGGAAACCTCTAGAAAACAGCGGAAGACGGAAAAGTGAAAGAAATGGGCAGCAACCATTGAACTCTTGATGGGATGCGTCAAGAGAGACAGCATAAGAACCATCGGTGTCCCCGAGCATGGGAAGGTGATTTTGATGGAGATCTGCAAATCAACTTCACAGCCTTGAAATCAGTTTTGCAAGAAGCACTAAACGAGCTTCTCTAGCTTGCACAAGAGTCTGGGGGACAAGAGCAGTTAGGATAAAGAAGGGATCAGTATGACAATAATAGTTGGAAATGATCATTTTGGACAGGAACTGAATGTTAAAAGCCTGATAACCTCTCAGTATCTGTATTGCAAATGATGAAAGAGAGAGGGTGAGGGAGAGAGAGAGGGGAGAGGAGCCCACCACAGAGAGTGATGGGGGAGAGTGGGAGCATTGTTGGTGGTGAATGTGCACTGGTGAAGGGACGGGTGTTCGAATATTCACTTAATCATTTAACTTCCTGTTAGTCGTCGATTTGCTCGAGCGGGCGCCAGTAACGTCTCCATTTGTCCCTGTCACGTGCTAGTGTAGCCCAATGGCATCTGTTCGCTCTGGGAACATGAGGAGCCTCAAACCGATCGTTCATAATTTTGACGAAGAAATCTGACCATCTGGTAGGTGGGCGGCCACACGGTCTTTTGACATACTGTGGAATCCAGTCGGTAACAGCTCTAGTCCAGCGGTCGTCTTTAAATCTCATTATGTGACCAGCCCATCTGATTTTTGACACCTTGGCAAATGAGACAGCGTCCCTGATTCTTGATCGTCTGTGGATGTCGGAACTCCGGATTCTTTCTCTCATTTGAGTGAAACGTGATATTCCAAGCATAGCTCTTTCTATTCTTCTTTGGGAGACCTGAATAGCGTTCTCATCTTGTTTGCGTAGGGCCCAGGTCTCTGAGGCATGTGTTAATGCAGGAAGAACAGTGGAATCAAAGAGATGTGCCCGGAGCCGGAGGTTTTTCGTCCTCTTAGCTATTTCTTCGACGTTCTTGAAAGCATTCCAAACCGCTCTCTTCCTCCTGCGCAGCTCGGGTGCCAGGTCATTTGTCATGTTGACTTCTCGACCTAGGTACACATAGCTGTTACATTCGGAGGTGGTCGTTCTCTTGAGAGCAAATGGGGCATCAGGAACGAGGCTGTTTCTCATAAACATTGTCTTCGTAAGATTCAGCTGTAGTCCTACCTTTCCACACTCACGGTCAAAGTCGGCCAGCATTTGTGCCGCTTGGCTGATGTTTGGTGTTATTAAAACAATGTCATCAGCAAAGCGGAGGTGGTGTAGTTGCCGACCATCTATCTTCACTCCCATTCCTTTCCATTCCAGTCATCGCATGATGTTCTCGAGGGTGGCACTGAAGAGTTTTGGTGAAATGGTATCACCCTGCCGCACCCCTCTCTTGACATCAACGATCACTTCTTTGTAGAATGGTGAGATCCTGGTAGTGAATCCGCAATACAGCTCACGGAGGATCCTGATGTATTGGGCTTGAATGCCCTGATTGGCTAGGGCTTCAATGACCGCTTCCGTCTCAACAGAATCAAAGGCCTTCTTTAAATCAATGAACGTTAAACAGAGCGGCATCTTGAACTCCCGAGAAACCTCAATAAGTTTGGTTATCATGTGGATATGGTCAATGATGCTGAATCCTTTGCAGAACCCGGCTTGCTCGCATGGTTGTCCTTCATCTAGTGTTCTGCCAATCCTATTTAGGATGACTCGAGTGAACAACTTGTAGATGACAGACAATAGGCAGATCGGGCGATAGTTGCCAATGTCATGGATGCCTCCCTTCTTAAACAGTAGTATGGTCCTGCTGGTTTTCCATTGGGACGGAACCTTGCATTCAGACAGGTAGCGAGTGAAGAGCCGAGCCAGTGTATTGATGAGTACTGACAGCAGGTTCTTCAGGTGTTCAGGTCTGACCTTGTCTGGGCTGGGTGCTGTTTGTTTCTTTACCGACGAAATGGCGTGTCGGATTTCGGAAGGGAGAATGTTGGGAACGACATATCCATCCTGTGGAATTTGGTATGTCGGCAAGTGGACATGCCTATCGAAGAGATTTGAGTAGAAGTCATGGATAATCTTCTCCATTGCCATTCTGGAGGATGTGGTGGATCCATCAGGACGTCAGAGGGCAGTCATCTTGGTCTTGTAGTTGGCGAAGGACAGGCGGGCGTTACGAATACTTTTCCTGGCTTCTGCCGCATCTACCAGTACCTTTGAGGTCTTCCTTGATCACATCTCTGCACTGCTTTGCGAGCTCGGACATTAGCTTGCGGTTGCCTGAGGCATGCGCCAAACCACGCTGGCGAATTAGCTCCAGAGTTTTCGAAGATAGGCGATTTTTTGTGGCTATCTCTCTCGGCGTTCCTCGCACATTCATGGAGGTGCTGAACCAGTCGATCATATTCCTCGTCAATGTTGTCAACAATGGCATCTTCCCATGTTGCCGCAATAGTACCAAAGAGTTCCCAGCTGGTGGTCTGGTTTTGAAGTGCAATAGAGTGATCTGAGGGATAAAGAAGGATTTGTTTTACACAGCGGGTAGGGCGTTCGCCTTACAAGTGGCCAACATGGCCGACCCGAGTTCGATTCCTCCGCCCCTCTCGGAGAGCCCGGCAAGCTACCGAGAGTATTCGATATGCCAGACACAGTAACAACAAAGTCTCCAATGGAGACGTTACTGGGCCCGCTCGAGCAAATCGACGATCAACGGGAGGGCCTTTACCTTTACCTTTTTTATATATATATATATATATATATACATATATATATATATGCCGGAAAACAATCTTACAGGCAAACAATGCCCCCCAGTAGGCCAGGCCAGGGAGGCCATACTGATATCGGACAGCATAGACTTCAGATAGTCAAAAGCTGTAAGGAACAGGAATGGCCATTTCTTAATGGTCGAGGGATCGCTGCATCTAGAACTCACATTCCTAGTCACCCATGCACGCAGGGTGCACCATGGAAGAGTGAACAGCTGCTGACGGGCACCAAGGAAGGTGCTGGCACCAAGACAGCAGGAGGAGGAGGAGGACTCAGTCAGCTAGACAAAACTCAGCCAGTAAATACAGCATGAAGGAGGCAACGAGAGGGCCGGCAGACACATACGGCCTCTCCACCCCAGCCGAGTCCCCATCCTCCTCCTGGGCACCTGGGCCGTTCTCCAGGACAGACCACATGCCGGTCATGAAACCTGTCTCCATGAGACCAAGAAGACAGAAATTGTGTCAACTACCCTCTCAGAACAGGATGCTTTGGAAATGGAAGTACATCACAGAAACAGCGGGACTCAAACACTTGGAAATTTAAAAAAAATAAGGACTTTCTGAGTCAAAAAAAAAATTATGGTTATAGCCATTTTTTTAAAAAAAGAAAGAAACATGGCAAGGTAACAACTAGTGACAAGGCTGCATCTGGGGGCATTTCCCTAAGAGCAGACCTGGGTCCCTGCACTCCCCTTGCTGCCTCTTAGTCCGCAGCGGTGGCTGGGCTGCCGCCCATGGTGCTGCTGTGGGTCTGTCTTTGGTGCTCCTTCCCTCTCCTGCCCTCCCCTGCCCTGCCCTCCCTTTCTTCCTCTCCTTCCCCTCCTCTCTCCTGTTTCATTTGAGGCCCGGCAAGCCTCCCTCTGTGCCTGCCTCTCCCCGTCCCTCTCACATTGAACCTTGACTCCACAGAGGGCCAGAGGGCCTCCCTATTCAAGGGTCCTGGTGTCCTCTAAGATGGGCAGGTTGGGTGCTCGTCTGCCCAGTGCATCATCACGCCATCTCAGCTTTCTGGAAACTCCAGAATTGCCAGCTCTTGAACTTTTGGGATTTGTGGTCGAACATGTGACCAGTACTGCTCGGACTTGGTGTTAGCATTCTGGAATGTTCTGACTCCCTGGAGTAAATTTTCTAGGAGTCCAGGCTCCCTGTCCAGTTGGTGGCTGGGCAGTCTCCGTGCTCGGGCGGGGCGGGAGCAGAGGCCCGAGACTCTGCAGAGCTAACACTGCCCTCTCCGTGCAGGTGGACACCCTCTGCATGGAGGACCTCCACACGTTCATTGCTCAAGCCCTGTGTCTCCAAGGGAAACCTACCGTGCAGCTCATGGACTTGGAGGTACATCCGAGGGCCTGGCCTCGTCCTCATTCTGCTCTTTCTCCAGTTTTGGGTGGCTTTCCTCGGAACAGACCAAGAACCCTTCTTGGCCAGGCTGTTCCGTGACCCAGTGTGTGTGTGTCACTGCTTCGACAGTTGAGATCCCCAGCGTAGCAAGAGTGGGAGCCCTCCCCTCACTGGCGGAGCTCCCCAGGCAGCACCCCTGGGTGCCACAGATGCTCTCTGGGACCCCGGAACAGGCTGCTGAAAGTGTCCGCTTGCCCTGCACTCTCCCAGATGGACACTGCTGGTAGGGTGGCTGCCTGGCCCCTCCTGTGTCCACGAGGACTTCATGCAGAGCCTTGATGATGGACAGAGCCCGTGCTGGTCACTTCAGGCCTCACTGTTTCTCAACCAAATGGCCTTTCCCTACTCTGCTCTCCCCTTTCTGCTCTGCATGCCTCAGTTCCTCTTACACTCTGTGTGTGTGTGTGTGTGTGCGCGCGCGCGCGTGTGTGCTTCAGGCCTCCCCTGCGCCCATGTGCCCTGAGTTCCTTGTATACTGTGTGTGCACGCATGCTTGCAGGCCTCCCCTGTGTGTGTGTGTGTGTGTGTGTGTGTGTGTGTGTGTGCTTGCAGGCCTCCCCTGCGCCCATGTGCCCTGTGTTCCTCGTACAGTGTGTGTGTGTATGTGTGTGTGCGCGCGCATGCGCTTGCAGGCCTCCCGTATGTGTGTGTGTGTGCATGCTTGTGCTTATAGGCCTCCCCTGCGCCCATGTGCCCTGAGTTCCTTGTACACTGTGTATGTGTGTGTGTGCGCGCGTGCTTGCAGGCCTCCCATGGTGTGTGTGTGTGTGTGTGTGTGTGTGTGTGTGTGTGTGTGCTTGCAGGCCTCCCCTGCGCCCATGTGCCCTGTGTTCCTTGTACACTGTGTGTGTGCACGCGTGCATGCGTTTGCAGGCCTCCCCTGTGTGTGTGTGTGTGTGTGTGTGTGCTTGCGGGCCTCCCCTGCGCCCATGTGCCCTGATTTCCTCATACACTCTGTGTGTGTGTGTGTGTGTGTGTGTGTGTGTGTGTGTGCGCGTGCTTGCAGGCCTCCCCTGCGCCCGCCCACGTGCCCTGAGTTCCTCATATACTCTGTGTGTGTGTGTGTGTGTGTGTGTGTGCGTGTGTGTGCTTACAGGCCTCCCCTGCGCCCATGTGCCCTGAGTTCCTTGTACACTCTGTGTGTGTGTGTGCGTGCACGCTTGCAGGCCTCCCGTGTGTGTGTGTGTGTGTGTGTGTGCACGCGCGCATGCGCGCACACGCAACTCCATACCACGCAGGCCTCACTCTCCCTGCCTCAGTCCACTGTCCTGTGTGTAGTTGCAGGGTCCCCTTCAGTCCCCCAACTTGCCACGCTCACTGTCCAGGAGAGCAGAGGAATCCCACTCTGGGTGGCCCTATGCCTTGACAAGTGCTGTCCACCATCAGCAGCGTGGTTGATGGGCTGTCCCTGAAGCGGTCAGTACATGCAGGCCAGCTCCCACACACACAGGGTTTCTCTATCATGTGGCACAGTTTCATGTGTTGGATTTGGGGTATGCCCAGCAGTGTTTGGGAATGCTCCTCATGGTGCTAAGGGTACCATGTGCAGTGCTGGGATCGAACCCTGCTCAGCTACGTGCAAGGCAAATGCCCAGCCTGCCATACTGTTGTCCTGGGCCCTGCATCACAGCTTCAGATATGCTTCTTCTCTTCTGGGGGAAGCAGAGAAGCACTTGGCTGCTTGACCTGCCTTGTTCTCTGCTTGGGTTTGGTCCTTGCTGGTCAGGACACTGGCCCCGAATGCGGCTTCCTCCTTTCTTGCCTCCTAAGCTGGCCTCCTCACTTCTCTCAGTCGTGAGGGATGAGGAGAAGGAACGCACAACAGAAGGGCGTCTTTAGGGTAGAGCCAGGCTGTGGCCTGGTGCCTGTGTTTGTTTCCAGCGTATGTGCACCGGGGTGGGCTTGGTGTCCCCTCTGCTCTCTGAGACTCAGGCCTGGGGCCGACACACACAGGGACGGGCCTTCCCCACTCTGGCTAACGTGCCTTCCTGTATATCTGGCCTTTGGTCTGTGGGGCCTCTGCTGCCATGAGGGCTTGCGTGCTCGAGCCTGTGATTTTTGAGTCTGAGTGGAAGCAGCCCTGTTATCTGACGATTCTGGTGGTCGTGAGTCTCATAAACTCCTGTGCAGCCCGTGTGGTCTGCTGTGTGGAGCCCGTGTAGGGCCCATGCTGTGGTGAGTGCTGGAACCCACAGGCTTCACAGTGGGCAGTGAATGAAGGAATAACTAAATTATTTATAAATTATAACTTACAAATGTTATTGCGTTAATTACTGATTGCATCAGCTCTGCAGAGACACTGAGTGTCTGAGTACCCAGGCATAGAGGGCCAGGCCCCAGCATGGCCTGTGCCTCACACCCACTTGTTCTGTGCATGGAAGGGAGAGGCTTGGGGAGCCTTAGGTCTGTGGGGACAGAGCAGTGACCCTGCAACATTGAGCAAAGCAAGGAGGGAAGTAGCTGATCCGGGAATGCTGTGACGGTAGCAGCCCGAGCTGTCTCTGCTGTGAGTACCTGAGACAGGCCAGGAGGGAATGTTTCTCTGATTTATTTATAATTTCAAATTTAAAAGTTCCCTTTTTTCTCCCCACAAGAACTCATAGTGACTTATTCTGCCTCCCTGGAAGTGTGTGGCCACTGCAGGTGACCAGGCTTAGGGGCGTGCGAGTGCCCACCTTGTGTTTGGTCTCTGACTTACAGTGCTCCTGCTGCTGTGTAGGGGTCCTCGGAGGGCCTGCAACAGCGCTTTCCTTCCCAGAGGCCCTGCGCAGCCCCCCTCACCCCGGCGGCAGCCCCGGGGAAGACGGTGGTGAGGAGCCAAGCTGGCTCAGGGTGGTGTCACAGCACCAAGTCTGAGCACCCAGAGGGCCCTCACAGTTGGGCCACTTGTTGTCAGATGTACCCCACGCAGTGCTCAGGAGACCCCAAGAGGAAATGAGCACAAGACAGACACAAATGAAAGTGAGGTGGGGCTCAGAGCAGGGCTCCCTGGGTTGCTTCCCCCGGACCCATGCCCGCCTGCATCTTCCTGTGTCCGTGCAGCCGGGGAGGCTGGACTTAGGCTTGGGGAGAGCTGCTCCCGTTTGGTGGCCATCTGCATTTTCTGGGGCCAAAATAGAATGCAGAGCTAACGGGCGTCCTGCTGGGAATCAGCGTGCCCAGACTTCTTGGCCTGCCTCCTTCTGAAAGTCACTCTGCCTTCCAGGAAGGCGCCTCCTTCCAGCGGACAAGCAGAGCCTTCCCCGCACACCTCACGGCTGCACCCGGGGCTGCTGCACCCTGCCTTGGCCGTGCCTGCAATGGGCCTGGGCCAGTTCTGGCTGGAAGGGCGAGGACTCCGGTCAGCAGGTCCCACTGAGCCCAGCCTCCTGCCTTGCCCTTTGCTTTCACTGTGCCCTGACGCCTCTGAAAGCACCACCGGCCACTGAGACATGACCCGCCACGAGTTCCCCCCACGGAGACCATGCTCTCCCTCCCCTGTGGGAGGAGACGCTCCAGGAGGGGCTCTTCTTTATAGGCCAGATTGATGGTTTCATCCTTTGAATTTGTTCCTTGTTCCTAAATATCAGTCTGGAAAATCAAGTTCCAAGCATGGTTCCAAGCTGTGGGGGTGCCAGGCCGCGAGCCCGTAGCACACAGGTGCGCCCGGGCAGAGCCTTGCATCTCCGTTGCCAGCAGGTCTGCTCAGGAGTGTGTCCGACCAGCAGGTGACAACTGTGGGAGGGGCAGCAGTGGTGTGAGGGCCCGGCCTGGGGAGAGGGCCTGACCAAGGCCGAGTCCTCAGGCATCCTTGTCTTCACTGTTGGGTGGACAGGCCCGGACTAAGAAGCAGTGGACAGGGGGATCTATTTCTGGCCGAGGACCTGTGTGTGATGGTGCTCCCTCATCACTGTCAGACAGCCCCTCCTCACTGTCCCTCCTGCCTGTCCGTCCCTCCACCCTGTCCATCCCTCCTCACCAAGTCCCCCACATTCACTGCGCCATCGCTTTCTGCTTCTCTGTCACTTTCTTTGTGCCTTGCTGGACGGTTGATGTGGAATGTACAGCTAGTGAAGCTGTTGTGCCACAGATATTTGTGTTTCATTTGAGCTCAAAGATCAGCAACTCTAGTGCCTAGAGCTTGAGTAGGCCCCCTTAGGAACAGGAAAACCTGGGGTCCATGTAGGAGCGAGATTTCTTTAGAGTGAGAAGTATAGGAGAAGAGATGAGTGAGACCCTGGTATACAGGAAGGTCATGGGGCTCAGGTGCAAGGCACGCAGGAGCTCTTTGCAGCAGACTCACAGAGACCCTGGTGCGCTCTCTGCAGAGGGGAGTGAGTTCAGCACCCTGCCCTGGTGAGCGCAGGGACCCTCTGAGGATTATTTTGTGAAGTGATGCGTGTCAAAACTAGGAAACTTGGTTAGGAGAGAGCTGTAATGTCGGGAGGATCTCTGACATCCCCGTGCCCCCTCAGGGCTTGTGGACCAGACACGGTGGGGGGTGGGGGGTGTCTTATTTTTGCTTTCTGATCACTAGTAAGCAGTGATCCTTGTAGTGGTTCTCCTTCCCCTGCTTGAATTCCCACCTGCAACAATCTCTGAAACTGAATTGAGTTCACCGAGGGGTTCCAGGCGCCCAGGATAGTAGTTCTGTTTCATGTCTCATGTTCCAGAGCTGTCCGTTATCCCCAGTGAATGACTGTGTCAGCCTGAACGCCAAGCAGTAAACCGCTGTTAAACAGCTGAGGGGAAGTGTGACCAAGCATGTGCAGCCATCATGGCTGTGTGAAGGAAGGGGAAGCCAGCTGGACGCATTAGAAGGGCATGGGGATCAGCTGTGTTAGATCTGTGGGGTTTTCTTTGGGGCCATACCCAGTGGTGCTAAGGGCTCATTCCCTTGGGGAATCACAGTGCTTGGGGGACCATCTGGGGTGCCAGGCATCGAACCCAAGTCAGCCACATGCAGGGCAAATGCCCTCCCCATTCTACCATTGCCCCAGCCACTACATTAAGGTCTTGCGGAAGACTGATCAAGACAGAAGCCCAGCTAGGAGCGCCTTTGTACCCGGAGTGTTCTGTGCAGTAGGAAGGAGCGACTGCTCGGCTGACTGAGGGGAAACAGTGTCCTTGGGTATCCCTGGCACCTTTGGGGCTGCTGCAGACTGCTTGGCATGCCTGATACCAGCTTAAAGCCAAATCCCTTAAAAGACATGACCATAGCTGTCACCAGTCGGTCACTCAGACTGCCCTTTGAGGGCCAGGAGATGGCTCAAGGTCTGGAGCTGCACACCTGGCTCAAACCCTGGCACTGCAGGGATAGCGTAGGGTCTCCAGTACCACGGGGTGTTCCCCCTTCTGAGTAAGGAGCCCTGCAGCCATTACAGACACAGGGTTAAAGCTTCTAGACTCCCTAAGATATTCCTCTAGTGGGCAGTTGGCTTTGCCAGGTAATTGACTAACACTTAAAGAAGTAAATCTAAGAAAGAAAGAAGAAAGAAAGAAAGAAAGAAAGAAAGAAAGAAAGAAAGAAAGAGAAAGAGAGAGAGAAAGAAAGAAGTAAATCCAGTTCTTTGCAGTCGCTTCCATGAAGTCAGAGAGCGGGAGACTTCCCAGCAAGGCTGCTGTGGGGCAATACTGAAACCAGGTTATTGTGGAGCAAAAATAAAAACCAGGGCAGTATTTATCCTTCATGAAACAAACCCAGGAGTCCCAACAAAGTACCAGCCAGTCCAGTCCTGTGCTATAAAGAGAATTCTGTGCTGTGACTAAGCAGGTTCTGTGTTCCTGGGAGGTGCGCTCCTTTGGTTATTGAGAACGCTAATAAGTTAACATAGAAAAGTTGCCTGATTCTATGGATGATTCAGAAAAGGCTTTTGAGAGAATTCAGCATCCACCCATGAGAAAAGTCCTCGGAAAATTCAGGCTAGAGGGACCCTCCTTGTCCTAGACACATGTGAAGAGCTGCACATGAGCACTGCACACAGCTTGCCTGGGGTCTGGTCACTGCTCCTGCTCAGGGCAGGGTGTTAGCCAGAGGGTAGGCGGGCAAGAGGAAGGACAGGCAAGCTGGTCACATAGAGAGACGGGAAGTGCCCCTGTCTGCACCCAGACATGTGACACCCACAGGCTACAGGATCCTTGTCGAGGGTGTATGAGCACTTATCATTATGACTTTTGGGGTTGGGGCTGAAGCGATGGTACAGCGGAGACGGTGCTGCCTTGCACACGACCAACCCAGGTTCAGTCCCCGGCACCCCATGTGGTCCCTGGAGCCCCATCAGAGTGATGCCTGAGTTCGGAGCCTGGAGTAAGCCCTGAACACCAGTGGGTGTGATCCAACTATCACCACCACCACTAAGGAGAGAGAACTGACTTCTGAGGGATTATGAAGCAAACCTCATCAGTTTTAGAGCGTTGACATCATTAGTCTGTTTTTTGATCGTAGGTGAACTAGAGACCAATAATAAAACAGTTTAAAACAGTTATTTGAAAATTAAAGTCTATTTTTAAAGAACACTGGGATGAAGGTAGAAATCACAGTGGGTATTACAAATGTTTTGAATAACAGCAAGAATATTCCATGTGTCTGTAGGATGAAGCTAAAAGCTGTTTTTTAGCACTGGAAGGTGCTATTTGGGAGGAGACTGGAGTCAGGTGCCCTTCAGTCTTGAACGGGGTGCCAGGTTCCTCCCCCAGGGGCTGAGTAACCAGCGCAGATTGGGGCACCGAAAGAAGATAGAGTTCCAAGGATGCTTGGTGCTCTTTTTTCTCCTGAAAAGGGGCTGTAAGTCAAATAAGTTTGAGCCCTCTGATTTAATCAGTTCTGTAAATTAGAAAAGAAGAAATGGGACCTGAGGACTCATGGGGGGAGTAGCCTCAGCAACAGAAGAACAAAGGTCAGCAAGACAGAAAAGTCCTCTCATATTTGGGCCAAGAAGCAGCATGAAAGGCCAATAGGAGGTGCAGGGATGTGTGTAAAAACAGCCCATGGTCAAAATGAGAAGAAGCAGAATTGATGACAGCTGCTGGGGAATCCCCGGCCCCCGGACCTAACAGGCAGAGCAGGAGATGAAAGTTCTGGGCCCATCTGTTTCACTGAAAACAAGGGGGATCTTCAGCACCAGTGTTGTGAGGAAAGTCTTTGGGCAGATCCAGCCCCTGTTCTTGGTGAGGAACTTGTGGTCTCCGAGCCAGAGGACCTTCCCTGGGTCTGCAGTGGGCGTGGGTGAACCGTGGGCCTTCCTCCACCCATGCATTGAACACTAGTCCTGGCAGAGAGAAGGCAGGAGTGAGCAAGAGTGTAAAATTTGAAAAAAAGGGCAAAACCCCTCAGCAGCGGCAGGTGATTGTCATGGTTATGGAAAATCCAAGGAAGCCTCAGGGTTGAGAAGCAAATGTAGTTTGTAATTCTGTGAGAGTCACAAGAAAAATCTCCTTTTAAAGTCATCTGACATCTAAGAAGAAACGTGAGCTATTTAGGAAACACCCAGAGATGTGTGGCTCTACAGTGAAGGCCCCCGTTTCTGAGGGGCCGGATTGGGAACTGTCTTGTTCAGGCTGGTGGAGGCTTCTGTTGCCCCAAACAGATTCTGCAGATCCAGCCACAGTCCAGCCTTCTGCAGCATCTCCCTGGGCAGCGAGGGGGGCCGCACAGTTATCTCAGACAACCTCAACAAGGGCAACAAGCTGCTTGACTCATTGAATCCAAATCCAGTGATCTTTTCAAATGTTTCACTAAGGCAGCATGATTTACAATTATTCTTAAATGTCTCATTAAGGCACCATGATTCAGTTACTCTCAGTTAAAGTTCAGGCGCGTGACACCCCAGCACAGCTGCACCCCAGTGTCTCCAGGTCCCCTCCCAACCCTCCTGTTATTTTCTTGTTGGTCAGGGGACTGGTGCTGACCTCAGGTGCGGCAGGCAGCAGGGAGGGCCCCAGGGACTCCTGGGATGGGTGGCGTTAGCCCCATGGCTTCTGGTGTCCGTCAGATGGCTGCACAGGGCAGAGGGAGGTAGCTGTAAAGGGGCTCTAAACTAGGCAATGCAAGGGATGACCAGAAGATTATTCCACACAGAAACATCTTCCAGATCAGAGAATTGTCACCCTAACGCTCAGAGGAACAGGCGTCTGTGTTCATGCGCACTGCATGTATGCCCTCTGCGTTGAGCAGAGCAGCCATTGAGGCGTGCACTGGCCACCCTGTTGCAGAGCTGTGGCTCTCGGTGTTGGGTCTCTACAGTGACCGTCCACTCCCCTCCCGAGGCGAGCTCACTTAACCATTAGCAGCTCTGGTGTAGCTCCGGTGGAGTCTGGCGGTTCAGCAGGGCATGGGACACTACTGGGACCTGCCCGTGTGTGACGAGAGTGCAGGCTTCATGGGGAGCCTCTGTGGGCAGTTTCTTTTTTTTTTTTTTCATTTTATAAAGTAGTTCACAATATTTGATTACGTTTAATATCCGAACACCAATCCCACCACCATTACACTGTCCCACCACTGTATTTCGGATGTGTCCATCCTGAACGCCAACCAGTTTTGTCAAACCAAACACCTGAAATCAAGATTGACTTAACAAAAATAAAACTTTCACTTGGGATTTAAGTCTGATTTATAACATCAAATAAGTATTTAATGATAACGTTTGTTTTGGGCCCCACCCAACAGGAATTGAACCCTGGTCGGCTGTGTGCAAGGCAAACAGCCTGCCACTGTACGATCGCGCTCACCCACCCCTTGCAGATAAGTTCTCAGGACTGAGTGTGACCTTTATTGTGGTGACCTCGTCGGTACCTGCAGTGATACTCTCTGACTTCTCCTTTCTCTTCTCTCCTTTTGTTGTGGGTGCACAGGGCATCCAGGCAGAGCACAGTTGCCAGGAGGGACTTGGCTATTGGACCAGACGGTTCCAAAAGCTTGGGCCTTGCGAGTGCAGTGCTCGCTGCTCAGGCAGGTGCCGGGGGCCACCGGGGCCACATCCAGGGGTCGGGGACCACCAGAGGCGTCCTCGAAGTGCTTGGGGGTTCAGACGTGGCACCTTGTGCATGCAGAGCACGTGTTCCTGAGCCCCAGTCCCCTCTGAGGGCGTGGTCTTAGGGCGTATCTGGGCAGGCAGACGGCAGAGTGGTGGTGCTGGGCAGTGAGTGTCGGGGCCACTCACCGTGAGGCAGTGCCCCTCTGTGCAGCTGTGGTGGCATTGCCACGCCACGGGCTCTGTCTGCCTGGGGGTGCAGCTCCTTCCCACGCTCTCTCGTTTCTGCAGCTTGACTACATCGACTCCAGAGCCGTGCAGCTCGGCTCACTCTTCGTCCGCGGCCTCACCACCCTGGTGCTGGTCAACAGCGCCTGTGGCTTTCCCTGGAGCATGAGCGACTTCATGCCCTGGAACGTGTTTGACGGGAAGCTCTTCCACCAGAAGTACCTGCTGTCGGAGACAGGGCACAGTGTGGAGGCCCTTGTGGAACAGAACGTGAGTTCTGCCTTTCATTCGCTCGGAGACAGAATGTGTTTGAATTCCATGATTCACGCTTATCTTGAAATGCCTTGGCTACGCATCAGAAAGGTCAGCCTCACTGTCTGGATTCGGGTCACTGTCTTTAAACACCATTGGCCGGGGGGGCACAGGACCAGGCTGGGATCTCCCCGACCGCTGCCCCTTGTTCCTGAGGAGGGTCAGGTTGAGTATGCAGGGGCAAGGCTCCTACCAGGACCCCAGGTGGCTTCGAGACCCTGGAAGCCTCCGACATGCCACACAGTTTCTGTCCCAAGCATCCCCTTTGATTACGCAGAGAGGGAGAGAGGTTCAGAGAGCCGAGCAGATGCTTGGCATGTGGAAGACCCGGTTTTCCGCACCTCATGATCCCCCGAGCACCACAGAGAGCCCAGAGAACAGAAGGGACAAGTGTTTCTTTGGAGCTGCCTGTGCAGACCCCACCCCAGTTGGCCCTTGCAGCTCCACTCAGGATAGTGCTGGTGGTTTAAAATCTCTGAGAGGGCTAACAATTTACTTGGGGATGTTGACTGTTGGCTGTGATTCTGGCTTTATAAAATACAATACATATATTATAAATATAAAATACTTACATATTTATATATTATGGGCTGGAGCGATAGCACAGCGGTAGGGCATTTGCCTTGCACACGGCCGACTCGGCAGACCTGGGTTTTATTCCTCCGCCCCTCTCGGAGAGCCCGGCAAGGTACCAAGAGTATCCCGTCCACACGGCAGAGCCTGGCAAGCTCCCCGTGACATATTCGACATGCCACAGTAACAACAAGTCTCACAATGGAGACATTACTGGGCCCGCTCGAGCAAATCGATGAACAACGGGAGGACAGTGCTATTTATATATTATATATAAAATGTAAAGTGCTTTGTGATCTGCAAGTCTTCCAAATAAGACCTTGGCCAAGCTCCATGGAAAGTGTTTGGTCCCACAGGCCACGTAAGGCTGTGTGCTCTCTGCGGCTCTGTTGTTCCGTTGGGGAGGTCCCCTGCACTTTCTCATGGGATAGACAGCGCTGGGTAGTACTTTGGGGGAACTATTGCTGTTCCCCCAAGTCCAGATGTCAAAGGGGCTTTAGAACTGAGGTGCCATCAGGTCAGGTACAAACAAAAGCAGAATGATGGAAGGAGTGTTGCCCAGGTTGGCTTGTCACTGCAGCACTGACAGAAGGTCCTGGCAGATTCCAGGCCCTGGCTGGCACCCCGGAGGTGCCTGCACTTGCTCTCCGTTTCTTGCGTCAGTGCAAAGTGCTCTTTGGTTCCAGGAATGCCACCGCCCACATTGTGGGAAGGTAGCGGGTAAGTAGAGGTGGGATGAGGGGTCATCCCCAGCTTGCTACTGTTTTTCGTGAAGTTGCTAGTGATGCTGCTATTTGTGTGATGTTGCTATTAGCTGCCTCGCAGCTGAGCAGAGAAGTAGCAGGTTATGGGCCGAGCAACAACACGGCGTGGAAGGCGCTTGCCTTGCACACAGCCAACCAGGTTTGACCCCTGACACCCAGACGCTCCCCCCAGGAGTGATCCCCGAGTACAGGGCCAGAAGGAAGCCCTGAGACCACCGTGTGTGCCCTCCCTCCCACCCTCCTCCAAAGAAGAATTAACAGGCAGATCCCGGCATCGAGGGGCAGAGCGGTGTGGTTGTGACAGCACAAGACTTGAAGCTGCTGTTGGGCCATGATGTGGTAGAGGACACAGCAGATTGTGTGGCCGTCCCGGGGCCTTGCCTGGGGTCGGCAGAACCCCGGTGTCTCCTCAGCACTCCTGTGATGGTGCTGTGAAGCATGCCCACTCATGGCGTGCCCCTGCCCGCACCCCAGGTGGCTCCTGGTCTCATGTGCGTCTCTCTTTTCAGAGGACACGGCTCGCCAGGTTCCAAGCCCTGAAGTCGGCCGTGTGCAAGGCCTGCATGAAGGAGAACAGGCGCATCACCAGCAGGCAGCCCTGGCGCTCACACCACACAGGTGCGTGGCCTGCGTGGCCTGTGGCCACTCCTGGGCCCAGGGATACAGGAAGCCAAGAAGAGGCTGATAATCTGGAGGGGAATGGGGGGTGCTGTGCTCGGGTGCTGCCTGAGGGGCAGGGGGCTCACGCCTTTGCATAGGAGGCCCCTCCCTGCAATCAGGACCCTGAAGACAGCCCACCTGTGCCCTGTGGCCTGACAGTTTGTTCACCTTTTCCACCTTTTCTCGTATAAGTACACTGAAAGGAAACACAGACACCTTCATTCTGGGGCTGAAAGACAGCAGATACGACAGGCTACACATTTGCAGTCTTTTTCTGGCTCTCATCCCATGACTTTGCTCTCTAGAATTCTGTATCTTGCACACTTGGCCCTTGATGGACAGAGCTGAAGTGGGAGCTTCCCCTTCCCCACAGCACGCGTCAGAGTCCCCATGGTGGCACTGTCTCCTGACACACGCGATGCTTATTTTCCTCAAGTGGACAGCGTAGTTTCCAAGAGGCGCATGAGCCTGCAACCAGCCTTCAGATCTGTGTTGCCAGATAGTTTTCTAAAGCCCTTTTCACTGGTACACGAATCTGTTTCCTGCCGAGCCCAGTGGGAAAGATGAGAAAGTCCCATTGATTGCTTGTCTCTTCATCCGTTAGCTTGGATGGAGTCATTAGCTGGTGTCAACAATCTTATTTTAGGGGCTAGTAATGGAGCAGCGGAGCAGCGGGTAAGGCACTTGTCTTGCACGCAGCCAACCCACGCTGGATCCCCAGAACCCCAGAGGATCCCCCAAGCCCTGCCAGGGGGTGATCCCTGAATGCAGAGCTCAGAGCAAGCCTGAGCACCACCGGTGTGCCCATGAAACAACACAGGCTCGTATTCTGTTGCTCAATGTGCCTTTTCTGCTGCAGAGCTCAAGCAGCCCAGCGCTTCTCAGTGAGGCAAGAGAACTTGATGTTCTTGCTTCTGAGAGGCTGTTAGGAGCCAGGAGACCAGCTGACTGTGTTGGGTGGGGGTTGGATGAGACTGTCACTCTGACAACAGCTTCCTTTTCCCCTTGCTGTGGACAGCAGACCCTTGCTGCCCTGTCCTGTCTCCTCTGACTAGATGCGCACAGTTTAAGGCCCCAGCATAACTCCGCAGTAGAGCTTGCCTTGTGTACATGACGGCCTCGGCTCAGTCCCTGGGGCCAGGAAAGAAGAAGGAAAAAGACTCAAGGTGGAGCTGAAGAGATAGTGCAGCGGGGAGGGCATGTGCCTTTCATTCTGTCGACCCGGGTTTGATCTCCAGCATCCAGTAGGGTCTCCTGAGCGCCTCCAGGAATGATTCCTATGTGCAGAGGAGTAACTGCCTCTGGGCGTTGCTGAGTGTGGCCCAACACACACACAGAGAGACAGAGACAGACCGACAGACGGACGGACAAGGTAAAACTTCATTTCGTGTAGCATAAAGAGCAGTATTTCTCTTCCCATTGCTGATTTCTACCCTGGATGACATCCTGTTATCCTGCAGAGCTGCGCCTGTGGGGACTTGCCCCTGGCAGGGTGAGTGAGAGACGGCCTGATTCGGGGACTCCCTCTTTCTGTCCTCTGTCATCTTCACAAGTTCAGCCCTGGAGCTGCCACTCTGCCGTGTCCTGCAGAAGGAGCCAGCATGTTGCACATGCGTCCCCCACTGAGTAGCACCCTGAGGAACAGAACTCAGATCGGAGCCCTGGCCCCGGCCCAGCTCACTGCTCTTACTTCCCCGGGCTGTGTGTGCCAGGAGGTTGGGGGTGATGGCCACGCTCCGGCCTCAGTATCTCCACATGTGTGCCGCACACCTCTTCGTGCACCAGGGAGATGCGGCCACTGCAGCGTCTGTGTGCCGGGCAGATCTGTGGCCTGAGCCCCTCACCCCAGCTGCAGGCAGTGTGCATGTGGCCCCCAAGTCAACAGAGACGAGACAGACTGTGTGTTTGCCATGTCCTGGTGTGGCAGGGGTACAGGAATGGGCAGTGCTTATCACAGAGGGACATGGGAACGTCCCTGTGGACAAGGCCCACAGTGAGTGACAGGAGGGCCTGTCCGTGGTTAGGTTTGTGTGGATCAGGGCTGGGCAGACTGCACAATGGGGAGGGCGGTTGCCTTGCACACGACTGGCCCTGGTGCCATCCCCGGCACCACCAGGAGTGACCCCTGAGTACAACCAGGTGTGTCTCCAAAGATACCCCAGGCTGTGGCAGACCTGAGAAAGTTCAGGAGCTTGAGGTCACTGACTACTGCGCTCAGAGATGTCCTCAGGGACGGTTTCAGCAGCACCAGAGCCAGGCTGACGGGCCAGGGGCTGTCCCAGGCGGACCTCTGATGCCGTGGAGCTGCGGAGGGCTGTCAAGGCCAGGGCGCTGGTTGTTCCTATGTGGTCAACACTGTGTCACCCTAAACTCTCCTGGCCGTCAGGCCTGGATGGGGCTGGGACGAGGTCACTGGCTGTGGTGCCACCTGGAGAGCCGTGAGGCCCCAGGACCCATTCCAGGCGGGCAGCTGCAGCTTGCACAGGGTGTGGGTCTCCTCCCAGTGCTGTGGTGTGGATGTTCACCTCAGCCGTCCAGGGGAGGAGTGCGCCGGCCCTCGGTATGCAGGGCACGGGCGGGCCTGGCCCTCTTCTCCCTGGTGTGCCGTGGAAACCACGCTGCCTGCTGGCCTCCCATTTCCACAAGCATGCACTCTAGCTCCAGGTTCTTGCAGATGACCCACGTGCCACCCCTGGGCTTCTGAGGAGACTTGATTCTCCCTTACTCACGTCGGGATGGGGAGGTGCTGAGGTGCTGTGTGGCTCCAGGGTGCGGGAGGGATTGTCCAGATGGGAGCATGTGGGAGGAGATGGCATTGCTCCTGCCCATGGCAGGGCCCCACCCGCCACCTGAGGACTGAAGCCACTTGCTTGTTTGCTGACACCGTGCCACCTCTCCCCACAGGGAGGTGGGAGCGAGAGGGCTCCAGTTCCCACAGGACAAGTTCCGGGCACAGCCGGTCTGGCCAAGGACAGCACTGGAGAGACCAGGCATCAGGTAAGACCGGCTCGCTGCGTTCCTGGCGCCCTGCCAAAATCTGCTTTCACTCTGTTTTGGTAACAGGGTGTATGTTTACAGCTGACATCAACAGATACATGTGCTGATAGACCCAATTTCGCTCCTTGCCGAAGTCAAGACGAATAATTTCCCTGCTTGATGCTATCTACCACGTCCTTTATTTTCTACCAATTCATATATTTCTTTAAAACCCAACTTCTGTACTGTCCTCAGAGCAAGGCAGTCCTAGAGGTCACATCATGCAGCCGCTACATCCTTGTAGCATTTATCAGGGGTCGCATTTCGGTGTTTTCAATGGCATGGCTTGAATGCACGTGGGCTCTGCAGTATGAACTGGGAAGAAACAAACCCTCAGTACTGAACTTTCCTTGGAGGGAACAGGAATAGAGTGGCGGGGTGCAGACCTCCTTCCTGAGGCTGTGGCTCGACCCCACCACAGCTGCTGGCCTCACTGAGCAGCAAAAATCTCCAGGCTCACCCATACATGAACCACCGAATAACCAAAGTGGATCTCGGTTCTGGGGCCCAGAGAGGCAAAAGCAGTGGAGCCACCGAGAAGTCCCTGTGTCCACCTGCGCCCATGGAGTCCCCCACCCCTGTTGCCTGCCATTGGATCCTCTGAGTGCCCTTCAGTGACCAGGGCCCGGGAGGTCCCAGTGCACTGGCTGGGGCCTCTGGACCTGAGCCACAGTGACACCACAGTGGCCACCACTGGAGCCACAGGCTGCCCCCAGCTGCGTCCTGCCTGGGTCATTAGGGTGGTGGCGGCACAGCAGATGGAGCCCTCAGGGGCAGCGGGTGGAGGTGGGAAGTTTCCGAGAAGGGAAGCAGGGGACAGTGGGGCGGGGTGGTCTCCTTCCATGGAAGAGGGGCCACAGAATGGTCTACCCAAGACATTTCTCTTCACTCTCCGCCCATGCTGCCTCCGGCAGGGACGTGCCCCCGTGTCATTGTGGCTGGGGCCATGGCTACCCTGTGTTTGGCTGGACAGTGTCTGCCTTTGAACTTCTGCTTTGATATTCTTGGGAGTAGTGAAGTGTGCTCTGTGTGAGAGCAGCCACTGATTTCAGGTGACAGGCCAGTGGGAACTAAAATGCCCCTTGACTTATGTCACTCACTGTCCTGGAGCAGTCCTTGCCCAGTGGCGTGGGCGGAAACCCCTCCCTGCTGTGTGAGGGCTGTTCAAGCCCAGGACACTGTCTTCCCACTATAGGCGGGTGAGGCCTGACCTCTGACCCTGGGGCGGCAGCATCAAAGCTGGCCTCCCACAGTCAGACCTGCTCACCCTGCAGTCAGCTGGGTGAGAATGACCTGTGAGATCCCGCAGGCAGTAGCCACAGGGTGCCTGTGATCCCCAGTACTGCCCTCTCTGTGGGAGCTGCTGTAAAGCACCTCTGATCATCTGGGATAACGGGTGGGGCCCAGAGTCACACTTCTGGGAAGGTGTCAGCCCAGGAGGGCCTCTCACCTGCAGGCTGGAAAGCAGGCAGCCCCCATCTGACCTCTGCAGCTTTTCCTGGGGCTCTCTGGCTGGGAAAGTCCCTGTGTCACGGAGTGCCCGCCCCGCCCAAGGCAGGCAAGCTCTGTGTCTCCCACCCAGCTGCTGCTGAGTGGGGCCCAGTCGAGAAGGGAGCCAAGTCTGTCCTCAGACACAAAACGGTGCTTGCTCGCTTGCTTGCTTGCTTGCTTTTTTTTTTTTTTTTTTTTTTGCTTTTTGCTTTTTGCGTCACACCCAGCGATGCTCAGGGATTACTCCTGGCTCTGCACTCAGGAATCACTCCTGGCATTGCTCAGGGGATCGATCATATGGGATGCTGGGGGTCGAACCGCATGCAAGGCAAACACTCCCCACTGTACTATCGCTCTGGCCCAAATCAGCACTTTCTTACACACTTTCAGACATCAGACCTGGCCCAGCGTGTTCTTGGGTTCAGTCCTCAGATGTGACCCAGCAGTTTCTCACACACATTCATTCCTCAGACACGACCCAACATGTTCCACACGTTTAGAAACATCCACTTTTTTTTAAAGATTTTAATCTCAGAGAATTTTAAGTTTTAGTTTTCATAGTTTAGATATTAATTGGTTTTGATATCTTATTCGGTACAGGAAGTCGATCATATGAGCCTGACCAGTGGAGAAGGTATTCCTCATCGTCTGGGTGAGTCCACCACTGACACCTGCAAAATGAGTGATATGGATCAAAGAGTGTAGTAAGAAACCTGTCTTTATAGCAGATCTTTCAGATCAAGCGCCAGACGTATACATGCATATGTACATTTACAGCTTTATACACATTAAACCAACCAAATAAGGAGGTGAAAGATTTGCACTCTGAAAACCCTATAATGAAAGAAATTGATGAAAGCAGTTGAAAAGACAAATGGAATGGTGTTCTGTGCTCATGGATTGAAAGAATTTGTATTATCAAAATGTCTGTTCTACCTAAAGTTGTCTACAGGTTCAATATAACCCCTGTTGTAAGTCTAAGGAAATTTTTCATAGAAATGCAACAGTCCTGAACTTTGTATGAAATCACAAAAACACCATGAATAAACAAAGCAATTTGGGAAAGTAAGAACAAATCTGGGACCATAGAAATAATTTGGGGGTTATGGCGTTTTGTCTTAGATCCTACCAAGCCCAGTTCCTAGTGCCAGATTGGGTCCTCTGGGTACCACCAAGACTTCTGAGCCCAGAGCCAAAAATAAACCTGGAGTATTACTAGCTATGTCCCAGAAACCCAATTCTCAACCCACTCCCCACAAAAAACAAACAGAAGAACAAATCTAGTCAAACTACAAAGTCAGTGTAGTCAAAACATAGTGATACCAGCATAAAAACAGACTCATGGACAGAATAAATTAGAGAACCTTTAAGTAAACCCTCATGTGATAACTAATATTTGACAGGGACCCTAAGAACACATAACTAGAGGAAGGCCAGACTTCAGTAAAAAAGCTGCATATATGTGCAGAGAATGGAATCGCATCCTCATTCCATCCATGAAAATCAACTCAAAATGGACTAAAGATTAGACATAAGACCTGAAACTGAAACTCCTGAAAGATAGGTGGTAGGTTCTTTGACAGTGGCCTTTGAATGAATTTTTGGAAATGAGAACACAAAAGGTATGGGCAACAGAAAAAAATAATAATAAAGTGAAGAGCAAGCTGAGCAGCTTCTGCACGGCGGAGGTTGAGGTTGACAGAATGTGTGAGGCAGCCAGTGGGATGGAGGAAATGCTGGTGACCCATGATCGGGTGGGGCTTAATATCCAGAAACATTCAAGGAGCACCTGTAAACTCAATTGCAAAAATCAAATAAACCGGGGTGGGGGGTGGGGAACGGACTTGGTTTTGGTTTTTAGTCCGCTCCTAGTGGTATTCAGGGCTGGCTTCTGGCTCTGCACTCAGAGATCACTCCTGGCAGAACTCTAGAGACCGTGTGGGATGCCAAGAATCGAACACGGGTTGGCCACATGCAGACATCCTGCCCACTGTCCTGTCACTCCGGCCCCAAATAACCCAGTTTTTAAAATGAGCTGAGAAATAAGTAGGCATTTCTCCAAGGAAGACTGGAGACAACCAAACAGTACTTGCAGGACTCATCAGACAAGCAAATCACAAACCATCAGGGAGACTGTCTCAGCCCTACCGGGAAATGGAGGGTGTGGGGGATAGAGCTCCATCAAAGGAACCAGAAACTGGGGTGGAACCATAGCACAGCGGGGAGGGCCTTTGTCTTTGGCTGACCCGGATTCTATCCCCAGCGTCCCATATGGTCCCCCAGCACTGCCAGGAGTAATTCCTGAGTGCAGTCTGGTAACCCCTGAGCATCGCCGGGTGTGACCCAAAAAGCTCCCCCCAAAAAAGACAAGTATTGCAGAGGATGTGGAGAAACACTTCCACACACGTGTCGTCTGTAACAACAGATATGGTCAGTGAGTTGCAGTCAGGCAGTTTCCATTCTCCATACAGAGCCAGCCTGTGTGGCGGGAACTGGGGACCCCAGCCACAGATGCGGTCTGTCGTGAACAGGGCCCTGAGAAGCACGTGGGGCTTTTGCACTGCAGACTCCAGTCAGCCGTAAACAGAAGCAGCAAGACCAAGAAATAGAAGAGGTAAAAGACAAGCCAGGCAGTACAGTTCGTGCCTGCTCCTGTGGCTCGCAAGCCTTTCTCTCCTTAGAGCTGCCTTGCCGGGAAGAAACGCACACTGGCTTCCGCAGCCCAGCGAAGCAGCTCAGAGGGCAAGTCCGCCCGCCCCAGAAGTCAGGCGCCGACCCGGTCAGCATGTGAACAGCCTTCTCCCAGCGAGACCCGGACACCACACAGCTGTACAGCTGTGCTGTGACCGACAAAGACACTCAGACTAAAGGTGTCTAATTTTGTGTCTCACATTTCTCACTTAAGCGCAGCCAGTCTCAGAGCCTGCGCGAGTTTGCGATGTAGAACTTGGTGCTTGGATATCACAGTCTTGTGCTGTGACGAACAGACGTGGACGGTGGGTTTCTTGAGCATGGCCGTCACTTCACACAGCACATGTCAGTGTCATTACCATGTTATATACTACATCTCTTAAATTTATTTTTTCTTACAATTTTTGATGTGGGGGCATGTTGGGGCCACAGCCCGCAGTGCTCAGGGCTTACTCCTTGTGGGCTCGGGGGACCCTGCAGGATTCCGGGGATTGAACCCAGACCAGCTGCATGCGAGGCAAATGCCCTTCCTGCTGTATTATCGCTCTGCCTACTTCCCCTCCACCTCCCCCCCCCCCCCAAGCTCCTTCTCCGACCTTACTAACTGACATTTGTGTCCTTGAACTAACACACACCTGCCCGTTCCCCAGCCCTCAGGAGCGGTTTCTCCAAGTGCGGCATTGTAGATTCCAAACATAGGTGACAGCATGTCACATCTGAGTCTGGATTTCTTGCTGTACATGCCCGAGGTCACTGACTTCTCAGCAGAATCCTGGGGCCAGAAAGCAAAGGACTGGTGTATTCCATGCCGGAAGGGGTGGCGGGTAGTGGCTAGCTACCAAGAGTTTTGTCTCTGGCCAGATGCCCCTTGGAGATAGTCAGGAAGTCAAGACCCTCCCAGACAAACATGGGCCCCACAAAACTGATTGTAAATTAGTAAAATTTGCAGGAGACAACGGTAAGTTTGTCTTTGAAAAAACATTCTATAATGACAAGTTTCAGTACGACGATGAGCAGTTTGAGTGGGATAATGAACTGCATTAATGTCCCAGCAGCACCCACGGTTATACCCAGGGATGTCCCTCGCTTCCCATGGCTGTTCATTTCCTTGGAGAGTAGATGGGAGGAGGCGGCTCAGAAACACGGACCTGGCAGGGGCGGGGTGAGGCAGCAGAAATGGGCCTTGTCAGCAGAACCCCATTCTGTTCTGACCTAAGCTGTGGGGTCGTCGGCGGGGGAGTGTCCAAGAGTACAGCGTCCTTCACTCTTGCTGCCTGCTGGGACCGTGAGGGACTGTGCATGTGCACATGTGTGTGCATGCGTGTGCGTGTGCGTGTGCGTGTGCGTGTGCGTGTGTGTGTGTGTGTGTGAGCCTGGTGAGAGGAGTCTGGGCTGGGGTCCACACCGCGTCTCTACAGAAAAGCACCAGCACCTGCTGCACCATGGGGCAGAGAGCTTGAAACCCCTGCCAGAGGCTGGGACGAAGGCTGGGGCGCAGAGCCTGGGCGCCAGGGAGGAGACCGGCACCGCGAGCAGGCTGTGAGCTGGGCAGTGAGCTGAAGGGGTGGGCTGTGCTCTCAGCTCCAGGCAGGCCGGAAGGAAGCACCCCCAATGGCAGAGGGGGAGCCTCAGCTGCCCTGGGTGGGATGCAGGGGAGCGTTTTCCCATCACTCCCCGGCCAACACGCATACGTCCCCTCCCGTCTGATTGCTTGGCTGAGAGTGGGCTGCCCTCCCACTGGACTGGCTCAAGACAGGCTAGTGCATTCACTTGTGTTCTCTATGTGCTCGTGTTCTAGGTGGTCCAACTAATGCGTGCCGTAGGGGCAGCCATTCTTGGTCAGCCAGGTCAGTATGTGTTGCTCTGTGTTGCCGACATAGACGTGAGTACACACTGAGATTGAAGGGTTCGAGACGAAGACTCCGGGCCTCTAAGGAGCACAGATGGACAGCACCCTGCATCCCCACACCCTTTGGCAAGAGGGCGTGGGCGTCCGCCCTGCCAGGCACCGATGTGTTTCACTTGCCAACTCTGAGTTTTTGGACCATGTGTGTCTCACTGGGGGTACCCCATTGTAAGGGGACCCACAGGTTCATGTCACCATTTGCTCCAACCGGGAATCCATCCAGGTTACCCTGATTCAAAGAAGGGAGCCCATAACAGTGCTCCGAACACTTGGACCTCGGGAAGCCATCAGGGGCAGCCCACATCAGGACGGAAGGTCACACACTCGCTCGTCCTGCTCTGTGCTGGGAGGGCTGGCACCAGAACGCCACGTGGAGGTAGGCTGGCCCAGAGATGGTGCCAGAGATGCCCACTGACGGGCTGTTTATCACCCTGATTGAGTGTGACTTTGTTTCTGTTTCTCATTTGGATCTTGATTCAACTTCTAACCCTAAAGAGAACCTGGGAGACTTCCTGAGCTCTGGTCACCTGGGACTGTCCTGCCCTGTTGTCACTTGCCACCTCCTGTTTGGTGTCCCCTGAGCCCCAGGCTGTCGTCTTGCAACTGAAACGTTTGCTTCAGCTCTTGGTTTCTCCTTGTAAACCGAGTCCTCACTCTGGAAATGAAACAAAGTGCCAGCTCCTGGGATTGTTCAATATGTGCGAACTGCAGTAGCTTCCTTCTGCTTAAGGCTCTTTCTCCGTGCAGCTTTCCATCCCAGATGTCCTGTAATGACACCAGGGATGGAAAGTGTCAACACACAGCCCCCAATGACTCTGGAGTGGCCCTTCCTCGTAAGCCTGCGTCCCCGCCGTGCTTGGGAGAGCTGGGCACTGGGCAGGACGGGCATGCCGACAGGAGCAGAGTGCTGATGTCCTCAGAGCCAGGGGGTACCCTGCCCCAGCCAGCAATGAGTCTTCACCTGGGTCTGCAACTGCATGTCCACAGCTCCCCAGGAGCTCGCCAAGGGTGGTAGCCTGTGTTGGTGATGGAGAGCACCGATCACTGCAGGCTCTTCAACGTCCTTGACAAAATGTGTTTTTCAAATCCTGCCTATTTGGACTTGATGTGTGGTTTCCTCCACTTTGAGATGTCAAGTTCCTTCAGAACTCAGAAAGCAAAATGAGTAAGTGGGCACCAGCATTTCCTGACTGACTCTCAACAAAGGGAGCTGGCTGAGCAAGAAGTAGAGGGCAGGGTCGGCTGTGGGGTGATGTCTGCATGGAAAGACCTGTCGCGGGGTGTCAGCCTGGCCTGTCCACCTCCCCGCAGAAGAGAGGGCCTTGGGGCTGCCTGCCTTTCTCACTTCAGTGGATGTGGTCTGTGTCTATGCCTGTGCCCAGAGTCCTGTTGCTCCTCCCATAGCCAGAGCGAGCCTGACGGGAAGAGCAGCCCGTGGCAGACCCTCCATTCTCACTTCTGAGCACAGTGGTCTGTCCACACCCTGCCCAGTGTCTCCCTGACCAGGGTTCACATTTGCTACTTGTTACTCATGCTCTGTTTTCCTGCGGGGCTGGGGGGCAGGCTCCCTGTGTCCTGCTGCCCTGGCCTGCCCAGCTGGCAGTAACTATCCCTCCCATCTCATGTTCCCTAGCTCACAGACCTGAACTCACTGGGTGTCAGGTAAGTATTGCAGGGGAACTAATAAATGCCCAGGACTGGCCTGGGGTCAGACAGCAGGAGGATTAAGGCACTTGCCTTGCATGTGGTGACCTGGGTTTGATCTCCCACTTCCCATACCCCACCCCACCCCTGAGCCCCCTGGAGTAACCCCTGAGCACAGCTGGGTGTGCCCTCCCCCAAAATAAGCCTGTTCTCTGCTACGGAGAGTCCCAGGCAGCCAAGGGTGTAGGGACCCTGAGAACTCACTGATGGGGCCATGGCAGAGCCTCTGTCCAACGTGCTGAGCCCGTCTCTTTCCAGCTGAGCAAGGGCCAGGGCTGCTCTGGCACGGGACAGGAGCTTGTCATCTGCGGTGAGCATGACAGGCCCTCGCTCCCAGATGGGTGACCGTGCATGCGGTGACGTGTGCGTCATGCCTTTGCCAACACTACTCTTCTTCTGTGGGGCAGCTCCAAACCCAGAGTCACTCTCGGGCTGTCAGTGCTGCTTCCTCCTCTGCTCTCTCTGGTCTGGGCTTCGGGTTCAGGTCCTTAAGTCAGTACAAAGTGGCCTGAGCTAGACACCCCTTTGGCTGCTGAGATGTGAGCACGTAATTCTGGTCACATAAACCTTTCTGTGGGTCCAGGTTCTTCCAGTCGCAGCCCTAACTTCAGTTCCCAGTGTGGGCCGCTGTGTGGCCCCAGGATACTGAGGGACCTGTCCCCTGCGGCAGTGGGGGGACACACCCCGGGATGCTGAGGGACCTGCCCGTGATGCTGTGGATGTACACACTGACCCCAGGATGCTGAGGGAGCTGCCCCCTGCAGCTGTGGTGACTCCAGCAGAGGTTCTGTGGATTCTGGGCCACCGAGAACTTCGCAGTGGGTTAGGCCTACAGAGAAGCCTCTCGGGCCTGAGGGATGGTCACTAGCCCAGCAGCTCTGTGTCCTTCAGTCTTGCCGCTTTGACTTGACCCTGAAGAGCCCTGCCCTGTTCTTTTTCTCAGAAACCCTCCTCTCCTTTGCTTTTGCCGGTAATGGGCTGTTTCTGTGGATTTCCTCGTAATTTGTTTTTTTCCTGAACCTTTGTTTTGTTCTTTTGTGTTTTTTTCTTTCTGAGTCTTAAAGCAGAGTTAATAGTTTTGTTGCCAGCACTGTGGTGTGGGCATCACTCACGGCTCTTCGTAGACATTTTCACAGCATAGAACTATAGGTGGTTGTATTTTGTGTGGAATAAATGTTATAAAAATCACTTTCTTGTCGTGTGTGCATACTGAGGCCTCTGACAGAGAACAGCTGGCCACTTCATTAAGTCCACTAAGAGACATTAGACTGTGAGAAACCAACTTCCCCCAACTCACACATAAACATCACCGTACCAAAAGCTAAAGATGGGGGGGGCTGGTCATGATAACGTAGTCGAGTGCTTATTAAACAGTATCAGCACAGGCAGGAGGTGCTCAGGACCGGAGACCCGGAATCAGCCCCGACACCACGGGGTTCCCCCACCAGCCTCTGTGCACTGAGCTGGGAATAGCCCCCGAGCAATGCCTGCATACATGGAGTGGGTGGGGCAAAGAGCTGGTACAGACTAAGGGGCCTGCCCTGCATGCCTCCAACTCCTTTCAGTCCCACCTAGGTCCCCGCAGCACAGGTGTGACCCCCAAACAAAAGGCATCGGCCTGCCAATCACAGACTACCGTGCATGGGGGTGGGCCCTCTGACATGGGCCCTAGGGTCTCACATGTGGGACAGCAGCTCTGCTGCTAAGCCACTTCCCTGATCTGTGTTAACATCTTTAATGAAAAACAAAACTATAATTTCAAGAAATAGGATTGAGGGAACAGGAGAGAAGCGTAATGGGCAGCGTGCTTGCCTTGCATGCTGCCAACCCAGGTTCCATCCCCAGCATCTTGTAGGGTTCTCCAAGCCCTGCCAGGAGTGATCTCTTAGCACAGAACCAATAATAAACCACAGCAGTATGAAGTGTGCCCAAAGAAACAAAAAATAATACCAAGTGAACAAGACAGACCACTGGTTTGCAGTGCAATAGGGCACAGCGGATGTGTCAAACCACTGTCAGAGCCAGTGTGATAATCTGGTAGAGTTGGCACTTACCTTACTTGCAGTGGAACCATGTTTGATCCTCAGACCACATATAGTCCCTCGAGCACCACCAGGAGTCATTTCTGGGTGCAAACCAGGAGTGATCTCTGAACATCACCAGGTGTGGCCCAAAGATTGAAGGGGTGAAGGGGAAGAAGAAGGGAAAAGGGAGCCAGAGAGATAATACAGTGGATAGGGCACTTGCCTTGCCCACAACTAACCCTGTCCCAGTCTTGGGTATCCCATATCGTACCCCAGCCCCACCAGGAGTGATCCCTGAGTACAGAGCCAGGAGTAAGCCCTAAGAGTTGCCAGGTGTAACCCCGAAACAAAACCGGGGGCCATGTCTGGCAGGGGTCTTGTGAGCCTGCACAATCAACACCCATAGCACCCTGGGTACCACCAGGAGGTCCTGGAGACCCCAGCAGCACTTCCACACCCGATCGTTGAACTGTTCAGCCGAAGTGGCCAAATACTACTGGATACTGAGTTCCTGAGCATTGCTTGGGAGGCTCCAGACAAAATCATGACCAGCAGATGGCTGACTCCCTGCCACATTAGCAATGACATGCTAAACAGAGGGAAATAGAGGCCCAGAAAGGACCAGGTGGCCAGAGGGCACATCAGCAAGAACAGCCAACACATAGGTTTCCCAAGGGAAGGAGGGTGGGAGGGAGGCTGTGAGTCTGTAATTCTGACCCAGTTCTGAGGGAAGGCTCCCACTTGGGGCCTCAGAGGTTGAGCGCTGGTCAGTGAGGGTGCATCCACGGTCAGGCCCAAGACAGACTGCCAGAGCACCAGGGTATGGGGAGCAGAAAGATGCCAGCAGTGCGTGGACAGCAGGTTCCAGCCAGGCAGGACACGAGTCACTGGACAAAGTCAGGCCTCACTGGCAGCTACAGAGGCCCCTGCAGAGCACCCCCATCTGCTCACAGCAGGCAAGGACAGCAAGGAGGTGGGTCCCATCCCTCAGCTCTTGATGCTCTAGAAGGATCTGGACATGATCAGGTGACTGAGCTGGATTTTAGAATTGCTCTGGTCACGGGGAGAAGGCTGGAAGCAGCAGCATATTCTCAGACCGAGTATGCGTCCGTCTGTTATTTTGCTCAGAGAAGTGGGTTGTGTCTGGTGCTGAAAGAGTATTGGAAGGCTTAGTTCAGTGGAGAGAGGAGGGGTGGCAGCAGGACCTCCCCTTCCTGAACCCCCTACCGTGTGCTCCAGCATACAGGTTCCACGAGTCATAATCCAAGTAATGGCACCCATGACGAAGGATGAAGGTGTCAAGGTGTAGCTCAGGGCCGGGCCTCAATAAGTGTGGCATGCATAGAACAGTGTTTAGAGCTGTGACATTGACATGCGACTTAGGTTTGGGCTGCAGAGTCATGCTCTGCACCCCAGGCTTTCTGGAGGCCCCAGTCAGAGTCGCCAGGCTCCCTACAGGGTGTGTGGAGAGAGAGCACAGCACCAAGGGAAGGAGGAGAGGGCAGAAGTGCTCAGAGTCA